GTCCAGTGGAATTTTCCACAATACTGTCACTTTCCAGTATTCACCTCCGAAAGAAGAGGAGATAAATGCGACCGATATGTGCTTAACGTAAGCGTTTTTAGCGACAACCTCCGATGTCATTGCGTAATAAAAAACGAAGAAATTATTTTTGTTTGGTATGTTTTCATAGCTGAGCACTTTGAATGACTTCCCTAATAAGGCCAATTTACTGTTCTTACATGCAAAATATATCAGGATTAAAAACTTTCACATTTCTGACAATTTGGGGGGGGGTTTACTTCTTTGTTTTTTGTTTTTAATTTACTAAATTTTAATGTAAAATACTACAAAAATCTGAAAGACGCCGTGTTTTAGAAATTGATATATTGTTTAGTTTACAAGCTAATCTTCTTTTTCAAGCGGTTAATGTCATTCCTAATTTTCGGTATCTCTGTTTGTATCTGCCCGCGTGACGTTAATAGCCATAAATAGCCCCGCATGTTATAAAAGAGAGACTCAGATGATGGATAAAATAACCAAATGATAAGTGACGTCAATTATGTGATAAAAATACCCAATAGGTTCAAAGTGACGTCAGATAATAAGCTAAAATAACCAATAGTGACAAAGTGACGTAAGAATATAGGATAAAAATAACCAATAGTCTTGATCAATTGTTATCGAGGTTTGTGTTATCTAGAGATCGGGGATGGATTCAAGACTGCGCTAGGCCGTGTGACTTCTATATTCAGGTATGCATAAAGTCCGAAGGGATCTTTGAGATATGTTTTGCAGATGAACGATGTTTGTATAATCTTAACAATATTTCCCTTTTTATAAAGTTTAATTTGTTTTAAGTAAAATGTAATTTAAAGTTCGAATATAAAATTCGACACAATGTCTCATTTGTTGCATTAAATATTTTAATTCAATACATCTTTATTCCTTTTTGTTTCAGAGCACGGCTACAAAATTCATCAACACCTAGGGAAAAAGACAGTTTTCATGCCTTGTTAGAGCATCGATTTCGTCACTTATATTTAATATTAAAGACAAATATAGTGAAAGCAATGTTTTTTGCAAAAAATATGCGAACACAAAATTTCAAATTACATTTGTCTTGAACTTTACTGTCATATTTGATAATAATCAAATAAAAGAGGAAATATACTCAATTGAAGTGGTGTGATTTCGCTATTATTATCATTACTATTATTATAATCATCATCTTCATCATTATTATCATCATCATCATCATTATTTTTTATCATTATTATTATTATAATCATCTTCATCATCATCACCATTATTATCATCATCATCATCATCATTATTATCGTTATTATTATTATTATTATTTTTAAATTTTTTATTGTTACATTTAGTTTCATTATAATGATTGTTTGACATAGTCAATTATTATGAAATAGTATGTAACTTAACACTCGACAGAAGAATTAGATGTTACCAATTAAAGACGGACAGTCAAATAAAACCACTTAAAGGCGGACAGTCAAATACAATACAATACATTTACAAATACCCCTTGAACATGACCAGGACACATGTTCATAAGAAAATGAACTGCATCAAGATCTATCTAATTTTTGCTGATAAGTCCTTTTCGAATTTCAATTCTTTATTCTTCACTTGATCTATATAAAAAAATCTAATTTTATGCTTAGGCTAAAAGAAGCTCTTCTAACATGTGTCGTTTCAGCACCAATTTTAGGTAAGTATAGAATATCAAATCTGTTTCTTGTTCTAATCAATATGATATTAGATTGCCAAGTTGTTTAAGCAATAGTTTTCACACGGACAGAAGCATAACATGGTTGTGTGTGAGAACACATAATCATATATTCAACGAAACTTGGAATCGATGAATCGAAATGAATATTCAAGAACTGTGATTTTCCAGACATGAATCATTAAAGATGCAATTGAAAACAACAACAATAACAAACAGGAAAGAAAAAAAACCAGAAAAAAACAACATAAAACACTTACTTAGGACTAGAAGCGGCCCTTTTTTGAAAAGTGGACACAGCTCAAGATCTCTAAGCAGAACTGTGAGCCCACAAGCATTTACCAAACTAAAACCGTAAGCCGGAAGCTGAGGCATTAACCGAACTTAAACCAGATCCCAGAAGCTGAGGTATTTACCGAACTAAAACCGGAAGCCAAAAGCCGAGGCCTTTAACGAACTAAAACCGGAAGCCAGAAGCTAGGGCATTTACCGACCTAAAACCGGAAACCAGAAGCTGAAATCCGTTTTCGATTCGTTTGTTGTTTAGGACTGACCAGGTGGAGGACAGATATTTATGTTGCTAATTAAAAACAAAATTTCTTTTAAACATTAACGTAACTCTGTACGACTTTATGAGAACTTGTTGGTCTAAACGTCTTAAATCAAGAGAAAAAAATGAGGAACTTCGCGTAACAGGTGGCCGTTTAAAGCTTCCGTACTGATAAGCTTCCGTGGTGTTAAGACATCTTTTCAAATCGATTTCAAATCATATATACTGTACACCTCATGATCGCACTAAATGGATGCGCTTTAAAGGGAAAGACAAGGTTGGAATAAAAACTTGATTTCAGAAAAAGAATACTATAAATAATAAATCTGCAAATTTTCTGCCGCCAAATAATGATATTAAACGAATGATAACAAAATTTAAATCGCTATATCACCGATTTCTACAAATCAGTAGTCGCGGCCATGTTTGTGTATTGGCTGTATAAAAACAGGTGCGCGTGATGTCATTTCCCCACATCTTTAGCTAGTTGAATCGTAGCGAAATATTAATATTATAAAGTATTGACCAGACAATTTAATTTTCACAGGAGATGTAGAGGAGTTTTTTTATGGTTCAAAATATGTAACAATATCAAAAAATAAAATAAAATAAAGAAACAAATAAAAAACCAACGTCTACCGCTCGCACCACTTCAGCTAGGCCAGTGATGCCCGTTACTCCAAACAATGCTATGTTCATTTAAGTCTCATCTTAATGTAATTAAACAATATTTTACATATTTAATTAATACACATGTTATTATTTAACAAAGTTTCACAATCAAATAATGCAATTAAATAAACAAACGCACCAACGAATAATTGGCCGTTAATAATTGAACGGCGATAATTATCATTATTATAAAGATCCTACTTAAACGTGTTCTTAATAGTACATGTAATTAAATTTTTGCAGTTTGATTCTGACTTTCAAATTAAAAGGTGTGAACATATGTTATAATTGATGTACACATTTCAAAAATAAAAGCAACTATTTTGAAAAGTAAATTGTTAACATGTCTGTCAACGTATGATGCTGCGTGGCATTTATTTACTTTGTAATCGTAGCCTAATATTAACTGCAGGCAAAACATTTTTATTGGCTGCTCAAAAATCTAATTTGCATAATTTATTCACACAATTGCTGGTTCCTAATACTGTGCATTATCCGTTTTAATTGTTTCTAATTTGCACTAAATGTTCCTGTCACACTGTGTACTGACGATTTTTTATTGCTCCTTGTATGCCTCTGTGCCGACAGACCTTTTGATCATACACAATGTTGCCCTGATTGGTTAATCACCCTTGTCAAATATTCTTATGACGAAATAGACATCTATTTTGTACGCTTCATCAGTGAACTGAATGACCTTGGGGGAAATTAAGTTCCGCACCTGTCAAGTTATACTGTAAATTACAGCATTTCATAAAATAGCAACACATTTTTTTTTCAGTTACCAATAATCATTTTAAATATTAAGTAGAATTATGATTTTTTTGTTTTATTGGATTAAATTTACGGTAGTAGAAATGCGTATCTGTGTTAGAAAGGGATTGGGTAAGTACGGTAGATAACGTAGAAAAAAGCTATAGGGAACTGGGTAAACCCGAGAATATGCGTAATTACAGGGGAATGGGCAACCTGTTGCTGTTGGTACAAGTTTTGACTGGGTGCCTAAATAACCTAACGGGCAGTTTTGTTTTCATACGATAATAGTCTGGCTGCCGATTTTCCTGCGCCATTCTCATTTTTAGCGCCAATGCCTGAAAATCGCGTCATCAGCAGATCTCTGCATGATATTGGATTTAAATGATATTTTACGCTGAAAAAAAAGATACATGACCGGCGATGTACCCTGTCCCGACAGCTTGTCTAGCGAAAATTAAGTACAAAATAAAAGGATATATCGTCAATTTGAAGAAGTTTCTCATAGTACCCAAATTAAATTGATGGTTTTTCTTTGAAAATTAAGCAGTCATTGCTTAAATCATGTGGTGGGATCATCAGCAAGCTTGAAACTCGGACAAATGATAATTAATGTCGCGGCGTCTTCAATTAATTAATTAAAGCAATTCAGTTCCATATGATGTTTTCATAAATAATATATAATGTAAGCAATAAGATTAAAACGTTCTTCATCAAGATATATTTCAGTTGTACCAGCGTGTATACCTTTACCGGAAGTGGGTATAACACGTCACAATCTCGGTCTCGTCTGTCTCGCGAGAATGACAGAACGCCAAAATGGCGGCGCCCGTGAATTTATTTCTCAAGTAAAAAATAGTGTCTTAAAACACGAATTTCTCACTTATAGGGTTGATGTCAACAGAAAAACTGTCATGGTACCTCTTTTTAAATGATGAATATTTATATAAGACAGACATCAATCCATCCATTCCTATTCCTTTAAAGTTTCCGTAAACATCTTGCTAAAAGTTCATCTCATACGTAGAAACTTAGATTTGATTGCTTGCAAAGGGTTGACCGTAACCGATGGATTTACGTATCGAACTACTAATATAAGGATCAAAAGTCGTGTAGATACAAACTACGTCAGGAACAAGTTGGGTCCTTGAGCAAAAAATGTTTTACACTCATTGCTTAGTACTTGTTGGTTCGGATTCGCGAGTGTATGAATAATTATTTAGCTTCCTGCAAAACCGGACTAAAATAAATTCTGTATAAAATAATTGAAGATTTAATATAACAACAAACAATGCAAATTGGTACATTTGTTACAAGTCCTTGTACAGGTCTTTGTCCAAGGGCTTAATCGGTTTATTGCAGTTGTCTGAAGTACAGCAATATGTACAATCAAAGTCCAAGGTGATAATGTTGTTGTCCTCAAAGTTACGGCATTTGTCGCTGTCAGAGCTTCCTAAGAACCACTCACGGTAGCAGGTGTCAAAGTTGCCGCAACTGAAATATATGTGTTCATTGCATTGAGTATTCAATATAACCAATGAACTGTCAGCGTTTGCACTACATGATGTTCTATTGTAAAACAAAAATGACATATATTCTTTTCCTTGAGTGTTTTCAATTTAATTTATACGCGTCATATATGTAATTAAAGAGTGCTACAGCCCTCGCGGAGTCTTTGGTCCGCTCAGACATTCAATTAAATCAACACTAATTTATTATCCATGCATTTGCAATATAGAAAAAAAATTGCGGACGGAGTAGAAAGCTTGAAAGGCTTTTTTGAAATCAGTTTTTAACAAATTTTATGTAAATGGTAACAATACAAAAAAATGTATATTCAATACACCATAAACTAAACTATACATATCATATCGACTTGTGCTGTTTTTTTTTACATATACGTACTATCATTATAATAAATATTCTTGATCTAAATTCAAGATTCATTACTGTTCAATTTGCGATATAAGCACGAACAAGATTTTTTTAAAGGTAAGCTCGGACTTCTCGCGCATAAAGCAAAATGTTTTGTGTACACTGCAATCTCAGCATACCATAAACATCTACCAATTAAACTAAAGTTAGACTTTGAACCAAAATAAAACTTTCCAGATAGACGCCTCAGGACAACAGCCAAAAAATATTGTCTATCTACATTAAAACAAAAAAAGAATCTAACGTCTTAAAACGAATCTGAGGGACTATGAATGTAGATATATTGTTGAAAACCATTTTGTTGTGTACCCTTGATCGGAATTGTCACCATTGTCACTACATAAGGTTTTAATTACCTTACCTAAATATCACAAATGGACTTGCTAACCTATGAGTTTGGACAAGTCTATTTTTCAATTTTAGGGGAGTACTGGCTTGATGTCAAAACAGTTAAAAAGTAGGACAATGACTTGCAACACATTCATTATCGCCGTCACATTTAAGAAATCTGTGGACATTTTGCTCTACCTAATCTTCTTATCGACTAAAAAGACCGCAACTTGGCTTACATTTAACATGATTGACGGTTATTTCCGATTGTCTGTGCTATTTGACCTCGACGGCCTGTTTCAAATATAATTGTTCCCAAAGACAATACCAATATGTAAGAAAATAAGAAACCATTCAATAAAAAGACGATACAACTCGTAATTTTAACGATATGTATCTATTAGTATAATCTTTGTCGGCTAAAAGCCAACACATTTTACAGTGTGTTTGTTAGCTTTTTTGCGTGTTTAACCCCGATTTTTAAATACGTTTTAGTCATATCTGGGCGGTCAATTCACCTCATCAGCTTCCTTGGATACTTAACTGGTAATTACAAATTTCCATGTACGTGACCTTCTACTTATGTTTTATGAATAAGAAATGATAGACAAGTAACCAATGGACTCAATTTTCGAAATCAACTGTCCAGAAAAAATACACTAAAATAAAACCAGAGATTACTGGATGATCCGGTGCTCTCCCCAAAGAGCTAAGCGGACGGACTTATAGAAAGCTGCAAAACTTGTATCGGAGTCGGTTAGCTATTTGATCAAAATATTATCAATCAAACCTTATTATCATTTCCAGAATCAATTATGTCTAGTATGTATATCACAGCAAACGCATACTGTTCCCAATACAGCATCGTCTTTATGTTTAAAAGTCCATAAATCTAGATCAAACCTTTATCGTACTGCCATGATGTTAAAAACTAATGGTGTGAAACAAAGAGGATGTTATACATTATTAGTACAATATTGTTTCTATTGTACTCGTACACAGCTGCAAACAAATATCAGACTCGGCTAGCGCCTCGACATATAAAGTGTTGACAGCTGTGTTCTCCTGCGATGTAATTCAGTATTGTACTCAACAATCTATTTGTACATGTATACACTTACTGTCTTGTAACCATCCTTGTCCCATCTATATGGTTGGTAAGCTTGTTTATGCAGTAGTTATTTGGGGGACTGCATGTCTGCGGCGCAAACAATTTTTCACATAGGAACTCGGGACCAGCGCATACATTGCACGTAACTGAAATAAAAAGAAGTATGCGAAACTGTATTCGAAGTCTGACTAAAAATCATAATTTGTACTTATTAGTATTTCTGAAGAAAATAAATACTTCAAACAATTAATATGTAACACCTTAAGAATTGTAACATATAAAATCCAAACATTTGTAATATATGGTCTCTCAATAAAAATCATTGTCAGATATAGTTTTATCAATTTAGTCTAAAATCTATAACAACATCTAGTGAATTCCATGTAACTTTGTTCAAAAACTCCATAACAAACCCTTATTGTACTTCAAATGTTGATTTCTACCAATATTTAAGGAAATGGCCGTGTAAGTTTGACATTGATTTTATTGGATTTGCAGCTCCAAACCTATATTGTACTTGGCTAGAGCATATGCCAATACAGTTTTTACACTTCTGTTCTTGTCTTATAGAACATAGCATTGAGCTCAACAAATTGAATGTATTGTAACTTCATAATAATGCAAAAAAAAGAAAATCTTAAAAAGTTAGATAGATAGTGAAATGAAAAAAATACAAATCTAATAAGAATCTGCCCTTACGCATTAGGATATGACGGGAACCAATGCGAGGTCCTTTGAAACAGCCTATCACGCTGAACTTTCACAATTATGAAAGCAATGTGATTAGAAAACTAATACTGAGTAGGTAATTACCACGCTTTCGAGAACAAACTTTGTCCGCCTTGGTATACGTGCAAACCAAAGTTTGAGTCTATTACTTCAAGTTTAATTGCTTCAAATGACTTTAAACATTTTTAAAAAAGAAAATCAACAGTTTAACGAAATAAATCAACACAAAAAGCAAATATTGACATTTTGCAATTTTTTGTGTCTGGATAGTTTCATCAACAGGATATTTGTACAAAATTAGGTTGTACAAAGTTTATGCCATAATTCTCACGGATTTTCAAAAAGTCTATTTAATTAATTTAGAGCCCTCTTATAAGCAAATGGTTAAAATTCGTACAATCTGAGTCATATTGAGTAAAAAATGAAACCTTGTATAGTGAAACACCTCTTTTTATCACCTACAACCGAGCACCGGCTAAGGCAGTTATAAACCATTAGCCCTAAACAAATTTGAACTAACTAATGAATAACAAGATTATGTCCTGAATATCACTTTACAATTGTCACCCAGTGTAACGGTAGTAAGAATACATAATCTGATAAGAGGAGATAACTCAAAAGAAAAGCAACCTCTGATTAATGCGAACTCGTTTTAATTCGGTCTTATATCGCAATAATTTCGAATCAATTTGCATTCCATAAGCTTGAATTTAACATGCATTCAAAACAAACAAAAATGCCAATTATAAATAAAAATATTCTAGAATCAATAACCTCCATTTATCCAAACCTTTTAAAGTAGAAAAGAGATACCACGAAATTGATTTTGTACTGACCTGCTGCAGGTGTTGGTGTGTGCGGCTGTTTTTGAGTAGTTGTTGTTGTTTTGGTAGGTGACGGAGTTGGCGCTACTGTTTGGCTATTTGTTGAAGCTCCGGAGCCTGTTTCGTTCGAGCCATTTCCACCGGATCCAGAGGGATTTTTTGTAGTAACGCTAATGGGGCCGCCGGGTCCAGATGCATTCAGTATAGTCGTGTCAATATGGTTATTTGTTGTACCTCCGTTCGAAACATTTCCGCCGGATCCAGATGGATTCTGTGTGATAAAGGCAATTGGGTCCTTTGTTGTAACTCCAGAGCCGGTTCCATTAGAACCATTTCCACCGGATCCGGAAGGATTCTGTGTAGTTATGCCAATTGGGTTGTTTGTTGTAACTCCGGAACCTGTTCCATTTGAACCATTTCCGCCGGATCCAGATGGATTTTGTGTGGTAACGACAATTGGGTTGTTTGTTGTAACTCCGGAACCTGTTCCATTCGAACCATTTTCGCCGGATCCAGATGGATTCTGTGTAGTCACGCCAACAGGTTTATTTGTTGTAACTCCGGAGTCTGTTCCATTCGAGCCATTACCGCTGGATCCAGATGTATTTTGTGTAATAACCCCAATTGGATTATTTGTTGTGACTGTAGAGCCAGTTCCGTTTGAACTATTTCCGCCGGAACCAAATGGATTTTGTGTACTTATGCCAATTGAGTTGTTTGTTGTTACTTCGGAGCCTGTTCCATTCAAACCATTTCCGCCGGATCCAGATTGATTCTGTGTAGTCATGCCAATGGGGTTTTTTGTTGTAATTCCGGAGCCTGTTCCATTCGAGCCATTACCGCTGGATCCAGATGGATTTTGTGTAATCACGCCGATAGGGCTATTTGTTGTAACTCCGGAGCCTGTTCCATTTGAACCATTTCCACCGGATCCAGATGGATTTTGTGTTGCCTCGCCAATTGGGTTATTTGTTATAACTCCGGAGTTCGTTCCATTTGAACCATTTCCACCGGATCCAGATTGATTCTGTGTTGTCACACCAATAGGGTTATTTGTTGTAAATCTAGAGCCTGTTCCATTCGAACCATTTCCGCCAGATCCAGATGGATTATGTGTAATCACGCCAATGGGGTTATTTGTTGATATTCCGGAGCCTGTTCCATTTGAACCATTTCCACCAGATCCAGATGGATTTTGTGTCGTCAAGCCAATTGTGTTATTAGTTATAACTCCGGAGCCTGTTCCATTTGAACCATTTCCACCGGATCCAGATGGATTTTGTATAGTAACGCCAATTGGGGTATTTGATGTTACTCCAGAGCCTGTTTCATTCGAACTATTTTCGCCGGATCCAGATGGATTCTTTGTAATCACGCCAATAGGGTTATTTGTTGTAAGTCCGGAGTCTGTTCCATTTGAACCATTTCCGACGGATGCAGATGGATTTTGTGTAGTCACGTCAATTGGCTTATTTGTTATAACTCCAGAGCCGGTTCCATTTGAACAATTTCCACCAGATCCAGATGGATTTTGTGTAGTAACGCCAATTGGGTTGTTTGTTATAACTCCAGAGTCTGTTCCATTCGAACTATTTCCACCGGATCCAGATGGATTCTGTGTAGTCAGGCAAATTGTGTTGTTTGTTGTATTTCCGGAGTCTGTTCCATTTGAACCATTTCCGCCGGATCCAGATGGGTTTTGTGTAGTCACGCCAATTGTAATGTTTGTTGTATTTTCGGAGCCTGTTCCATTTGAACCATTAACGATGGATGGTGCTGAGGTTGTTTTGTCAACAGACGAAATAGAAGGTACTACAAATTATAAAAAATGACTGCCAACATCACTGTGTATACATTTACCAGTTGTATTGAGAATCATAGCAGTTTAGAAATTTATATAATCATTTCTATACGCCGTTTCAAAAAACGGGTCATATATAGGATCGTCCCTGGCTGGCGGAAGGGCGACGTAAAAATTTTTTTCTGAGCATATTTCCTACACTCATGAAGGGATTTAATAAAAACTTCATAAAAATGGTCACCACTTTGAGAAGCCTGTTTCGCGGGCATGATCCAGATCTCTATGTTGAAGGTAAGAAGTCATTGCAAAAATGCCTGTTCGGAGCAACAGTTCTACATCCATGAAAGGATTTTAATGTAACTTTGCGCAAATGTTCACCACTGAGAGGTCACTGCTATCAAAGTCAAGGTCACATAGAGAGTTTAAAGTTCAGATAAAAACAGAATATGCAAACAGGGACCATTTATTATTTATCATAATTTATTAATGGATTGTAACATAAACAAAAACTAACACGACTACAAGTGTGACACAAGTACTTTACGTCAATATTTGCAAGGTCAAGGTCACAAAATATGATAAAAAGTTCAGATATTGCATGGATATTGCCAAGAATATATCTCCTATATACATAACTATAATGGCTCCATCTCTGTCAAAAGATTTTGTGACTGGCGCGTTTTGCGTGAATGTTGCCCTTGTTGATGTGTAGGTTTCAAATAACACTTAAATTGTTTTGGTCATATGGCGACTTCTCAGGTTTCATGGCAAAGCAAAACATCAGTTGCTCTTCAGGGCTGGTATTTGAAGATGTCTTTAAAGAATGGCTTGAATACATTTATAAATATTTGAAATCACTTTATGTCAGAACTGTGAGCTATGATAATTCTATTGATTATAATTCTACATCAAATTGGCTTCGTAAACCATTTAACATATTTCAGAAGACGTAAACAATGGAAATATCTTAGCTTACTACAACAGCCACAAGTTACGGGACATGCCGCTGCATCATCAACACATAATGTTTTCGGGGTGTTTTTAAAGTAGTGACAGCCTGCTCCATCTACGCATGCGTCAGATTTAGTATCTAAATGTAAGAAATCTATAATAATACATTGTATTTTGAATATAATACATTATCATCAATCATAGTCATGTTTTTTTTTCGCCAATTTTCGAAGTCGTAGTGACATTTTTTATGAAAGAAAAAGTGTCGGAGTGACAAGGCATAAGAGAAAAATATTATCCCGAATTCAAAAATCTATTCAATATCATAAACTATTACATAGGTACTATATAAGAATAATAAGAAATTAAAAAGAAACTCTGACTTTCAAACCAGTAATTATCATTATCAATATAAGAAAACAAGTATACATATGTGATAAAATGTTTGCAATATATACCACTTTTCAAGAGTCCTAAAATTAAAGCAGCTCACCTCCAGATCATGCTTATGTAAAATGAAAGTGATGTTAACAAAGAAAATAATTTTTCACTAAGCTAATGGCACTTAATCAACTTAAATTACCAAATAGAGGTCAAAATATACAAAATAAGAATCGGTTGAACCGAGTTATGCTCCCCGAGAAGGTTCTGGACACAGGAAAGTATAAAAATGAAGAAAGGACAAAAACTCTTAAATTAGTTAAGGCAGAGTTTTTATTGCACAGCACTTCTTTTCAATGAGATCTATCTATATATAAAAGTTTCATGATGATATCTCTTATAGTTTTTCCGGAGTTATGTCCCGGGTAACTTTCAAAGTGAAAAAATGAACAAAGGACAATAACTCTAAAATTAGACAATGCTGTCCTTATGTTCTTTAACATTGCAGTTCTATCAAATGAGATCCATATACCTGTAGAGTTTCATGTTGATGTATCTAATAGCTTAAGAGTAATGTCCCGAACAAAAGTCAAAAAGTAAAAATAAACAAAGGACAATAACTTCAAGATGAGGCAAGACAGGGATATGGTTCTTAGCACTGCACTTCTACCTAATGAGACATATCTACCTACAAAGTTTCATGCTGGCATCTTTCATAATTTCAGGGTTATGTCCCGGATTAAGTTCTAAGTGTCAAAATGAACAAACGACAATAACTCCAAAATAAGGCATGAAATAGTTATGGTTTGCAAACAATGCACTTCTGCTCGATGAGATTTATCAACCTACAAATTTTTATGTTGATACCTTTTATAGTTTTAGAGTTATGTCCCGGACAAAGTTCAAAATGTAAAAATAAACAAAAAGCAATTATTCAAAAAATAGCCACGGCAGAGTTACGGTTTTTGTGCACTGCAAACGTATTCAATGAGATCTATCTATCTAAAAAGTTTCATGTTGATAACTCTTATAGTTTAAGAGTAATGTCCCGAACAAAGTTCAAAGTGTAAAAATAAACAAAGGGCAATGATTCAAGTATGAGGCAAGGCAGAGTTACGGTTCTTATGCGCTGCACACCTACTCAATGAGATCTATCTACCTAGAAAAGTTCATGTTGATACCTCTTGTTGATTCAAAGTTATGTCCAGGACAATACAAGCGGTCAGACGGACGGAAGTTCTTACGGGACAGTAAAAATGTGGCTATTGTATTATTCTCTCTATTGTTCTTTATAGCCACCCGAAAGAAAATAACCACAAAAAGCATTACGGAATGAATGACATCAAAGACAAAGAACCTATTGTCCCTCTAGCCACATTATTACTGTCCCATGAGCAGACATACAGAGGGACAAACGGACGGACGGACAAATCGGCGACTATATGCTCACCATACGGGGAGCATATAAAGCTTTACTCAGTTCTAAAAAATACTGCAAAATCGGTCATAAATCGCACATAGCATGAGAATTATTACTTTGATGTTGAATCGTGTTTCTTTTCTTATAATCTCATTTTCTCACAAGTTTGATTTTCTTTAAATATTGATGCTCACCTGGAGGTAAATTATGCAGCTTTAAAACTGCTCCAAAGTACTTCAGAATTAGCACGGTGTTTGGTTTGTATTTGTTTTCTCATATCTGGCCCTGACCGTTTTAAATAAGCTGTTTAATTTTTTTATAGGCGACTTTCTATTTGTTTCTAATCTGAGTATTTCATAATTAGGACAAAAAGAAAAAATAAAAATCCAGATATGACTTATGTCATGTTGTTTTTCTCTGCATGTTAAAGCTGCATACCTTCAGATGAGCAAAAATATTTCAAGAAATCCAACTTGAAGAAAATGCTATATGCTTTTAAGTAAGGTAACAAGATTCAAGCGTTAATCAATAATTCAAATGTTATATTTGCGAAGCAGTATTTATCACCATATGTCTACTGCGTGACCGACGCAGTTATGACTATTGTTTGTATATTTTGACTTATTTTTCGGTTTTTATCGTTGATTTTAAGTACCGTTTGTAGTGTGTAAATTACTTGCTTTGCTGACTTCTTAATAATTTACTCTTAAATGCATTTTCAAAATTTCATAAATATAAACAGCATGACATCTGGAGGCTTGCTGCTTCAGTAAATTGTCATCTTTAACATGTTCTTACGTAGTACAGTTAAATGCAATATGTGCACGTATATACACTTTCTATAATACGTCTTAATGACACCACAGGGCACAACTTGGAATGAGATGACATTATATTGCATAACTCGGAATAACATATCACACAACATGACATAACTTAGAAAAACCTGAAAATTCATGACATGAAAAACTGTGACGACACATGACGTATAATACTAAATAACTCGACAACGCATGGCATGATGTGTGGCACATGGCGTGTGCGTTTTTTTTTTGTTGTCTGATTGGGTTTTACCCAAACCGACACAGTATAGGCCATTTGGCGACGTTCTAGCTTTACTGATGGAGGAAAGCCTCAGGTGCCATTCCATGTATTATTTCAGTCACGAACGGGCACCTGAATAGAATAACCGACCTTCCTTAAGCTAGCCGGATAGCTTCCTCACTTGAAAGAATCCAAAGTCCCTGTCAGACTTTGGACCCACAACGGTGAGTGGAAAGTGGTTTGAAGTGTACACCTTTAACCACTCGTCCACGGACGTCCCCGTACATGGAGTGTCACACACTACACCAAATGACGTCATGTGTCAAGTATGACGTCACATGATTTCACATGACATGGACTTAAACAATACCATAAGGTAGAAAACTCGTATTGTGTATACAAAAGCTAATAAACACTCTTCCAAAAGGATACCTACTATGCAAACTACAGTCAACTTTAAAATCCACGAAATCTGTAACGAAAGAATAAAAAGAAAAACGTGAAACATTCTCATCCATGATGTATTGACGCAACATTGTAGAAATTTAAAGATATGTTTAAGATAAGGTTTCGGCTCTTATATATGTTCTTTACAAAATTCTGATTTAGTTAATAATTTACTGCATATAAGAAAACTTCACATCTATTGCACACTTTCTCAATAAATTATTGATGTAAAAATGCTTGATTGTATATATAATACAATTAATAATAGATGATTAATTTCGAATTAAAATAACACACCCAAAATAATTGAATGTCAGAGAGAAAACAATTTAGATTTGTGTTGGTTTTTTTATCATGTCACAACATGGCGACTTAAACGCATGTACTGCATCGTATTAACTAGCCCTCTCCCCCACCCTGCAACACACACGCTTTCACATGTTTTCAATGCAAAAGTACCCACATTACAATTTTTTATTTCCAAAAGGTAGCTTCCCAATTTTCTCTCATGACCTGAATGATTTAACGCCTTTGTGGTTCGAGGCAAAAATTCAGACAGCTAGCAAAATTAGTGCCTACAGTACTTTGATTCTTGCAAAATTATGATAAATATGTATCATACCTGGACACACCTCGCTTGAGCATTCATCTTCTTCATGATTCTCTCCATTACAAAAGTCTTCATCAGAGCATTTTCTATAACGACTCATTTTGCATGTATTATTTTGCCTTAATTGACACTCCCAGCCACTCCAGGACTGCCATGTTGGTTCTGTATTGCATGAATAAAAAAAAGAAAAAATATGATAACATTATTGCACATGAATTACGATGCAATTATTTACACATGATAGACTACTGAAGCATAACAACTAGTGATTAACGATTTAGGTTTTATGACACGTGATTATAGTATATGGACACATGATGACTGATTAAAGTTTAATGACACGTTATTTTGTTAATGGTATAATTGAAACATAATACTAGTAACCTATTAAAGTAGATGTATTTTTTAACGATTACAATATATTACTTGGTTTTGTTTTCAATTAATTTTGTAGATATGTCCTGTATGTTAGATTTTGTTGTAAAGTAATGTATAGTATCTTATAACTTATATCTGGCATATACATGTATGTACAATGTCGTAGGTTTTATATTTGTATTGTTTTAATATTGTACATGATGATGAGACTGTAATAAACTATCTTATCTTATTTTAATGATTTTCGTTTATCATATATGGACAATTTAGTCAAGGTTTCAAAATTATTACACATGATTTACGTCAATCCTTAATGGATACATGACTAACGATCTGAATAAAAAAATGGCAGAGATGAAAAAAAAAGACACAATGTTTTCAGTAGTCGGTGCTGATTTGTACGTGAATTGTGTGATTTGTGTGTGGCAAAAGAAACAGAAGAAAAAAAGATACAACAACAACAAAAATTATACAACAGAAATTATCGTTCAGGCTATATTTTCTGCTATTAAGTCGATTTATATCTTATAATTTCTTAATGGAATAAAGTGCAGCGCCCTCTCAGTGACAAACCAATAAAATAAAAATCATTCGTTTGTCGTACAATAAAACCGCTTAAGTAAATGACTGTTTAAACACGCCGTTTTATTTTCCGTCAGATAAACTGATTCACCCCCGCACCCAACACTCCCCCCCCCCAAAAAAAAGCAAAAAATAAAACAACAAACAACAACAACAACAACAAAACATATATGTTTGTGTTATTCACTAGAATAAGACAGAGTCTGAAACATTTTCCGATAACAATTATGAAATTATTAAAAAAGTTATGAAAGTTATTTACTTCATCTTGACCGTCAATTGTGTTGATTTTACGTTCAAGCAGATCATAGAAATGTTCGTAGTGTTGGCACCGTGTTGTATAGAATAAAGTATAATAGAATAGAATAGAACAGAACAAAACAGAATAGAAAATAATAGAATAGAATATAATAGAATAGAAGAAGGCATTGGAACTCTAACATCGGAGAGAAGACATATTTACATGTTATAGAAACAGAATCGAAAGAAGGGCTCTCTGATTTGGTACGCCTTTGATAGCATCCGAGTATAAAAGAGACAGCTATATGTTTTGATGTTTTTTGTTCGATATAGTATGCAAAGAATCACTAACAATCTCACTCTCCCTTTCGCGCCACAATATGAGGCCCAAGAATTAAGTAAAGAATGTACGAGCAACTGAATATGATTTTTTGACCGTTATCCTTTTTCCTAATAAATAAAACTAGAAGAACTGTAGCCAATCAACGAGCTTGTTCTTTTTTATCCCAAACACACAATAAGGTATGTAATTTACAAGACTTCTTTTAACAAAAGAGCTGTTAGGTGACTGAAATAATGATATAACTCTTGACCGTTTTTATTTTCAATAAAAAAGTCTCCAAACTATAATAAAACTTTTTTAACACTACCAAATTTTCTTCTTCGATTTGAATTTAAGTCGCACCATTACGGTATGGGTCATATGGCAACTTTCCAGCTTCATTGGTAGAGGGGGGCCTCAAGTGCGCTCAAATGGATAGCTGAGTAGGACTTACGTTCCATAATTTAGCTGGACAGCTTCTCATGCTGACGAGAATGATACATGGTTCATTTCTGTTTAGATTTTCAAGTAATTCAATCTTTGTGGGCTTACTTACAGTTTTGTGTTAGGAGACCCTAGGTGATGTGATATCTAAATCAATCAATCATATTGTACATGTATAATCAAAATTTTCCTGGTCTCATTGGTCACTTTAATTCTCAAAAGCCAATAAGAGATGGGTTAGTTTGTTTGGTTTATGATGCACCAATAGAACTTAAGAACATATTGCGCTGAAACAGGAAAAGTCACCGAGTGTTACAAACTTAAATCAAACTATTTCGTTTGCTTGAGCTAAGAGATGTATAGACTCCAGTGATTAAAATCAATTTAGTTGCCTCTTACGGTCACACAGTGATAAACGTGGCTACGATTCTGATACCTCAACATTTCAGGGCACACCTTCAGCCACAAGGGGAAATATATTTGTGAACCAGTCATGTCTATGAAGTTCAAAATGTGCCTGTAATAGAAAGAGCATCGAAAGACGAAGCTATCTAATATGTAACCTCGATTATTAAATCAGATTGCTGAGTGTTTTGATGTTCTTTCTCTTCTTTATCATAGGAAAAATCAAAACACATCCCTTGTCTTTACAATAAGAAAAACTTTGGATACGAGGATATGGATAGGATTTTTTATCATTATCCCTTTCCCTGTCTATTATTCTATTGTGACAATAGGCAAAATCCAGAAAAAAATGAGCCAATCAACTAGCATACACTATATTATTTTACGAAAAACAATCCGCCCTCTTTAGTGCGGATAACCAATACCTGCACTCCAGTTAACGCAATGTGAATGTATGAATATACGATTTAACTTTGAGACATTTTCCAAAAGACAATAGAAAGGTAGTATGGTACTTTTTTGTACAAGTATTAATTAAAGACATCACCTGGACAAAGACGTTCATCGCAAACAGCCTCTCTTACTGATATGCCCTCACACTCAGTTGTATTTCCAGTAGAACATGTTCTACTCTGTTTCATTCTACACATAGTATTTGTTCTTTCACACGTCCAATTACTCCAACGTGACCATTCAGGATCAACTGCAACATGATAAGAGAAAACATTTTGAAAAAAAAACAACAAAAAAACAACTTTACATTGTTAATATTCCATTTTGTCTTTCTTTAAAGCTTATGGACACATCGAAAACATCACTGCATGTAACATTTTTTTCCGGCAAAAAGAGCATACTTTAGTTTACCCATAAATCTTCCGTATGGCAGATCCAAAGTATCTAGTGGGACTCAACACTTTTTTTTTTTGGATTTGAAGTGTTTGAATCAATTGGTTGATTAAAAGTGTTAGACAAACACATTTTTAGTCTGTCACGGTTCAGAATTGTTTACGATTAGTGGAGATGATGTGTAAGCGGCCGGATAGCGCAGTCGGTAGAGCCGCGGAACGGTTTTCCGAGGGTCCCAGGTTCGAGTCCCGGTCAGGCTGCAAAGTTTCCTCACTCTGTGACAAGTATGATCCTGGGTATGACATAAACGTTCCAAAATATTTTTAGATCATACTGATATTACGGTAGTACCAGAATTTATCAAAATTACCATAACATGTGCTACACTACCACTTCAAATATTAATTTACCCACAGTGTTCTGAAATTGTTAACCTGTTCAAAGTTATCAATAAAACAGTAGCTATTAATAAATATGTACCAACCTGGAGCAACATTGGTAACAATCAATTTGAAAAAGATTTGTCTTAATATTAATTAAAAAGTATTAATTTCAAATGCAAGGCAACCCTTCATTTTTTAAGTTAAGGAACAAACGTTGTGTGAAGAAAAACTTACCATGGCAACAGCCACATGCTTTTGGGCAAATCTTGCTTGCTACGTGGGCATCTGCTAAACACATTAGCAGTATGCTTTGATTTTCGCATGAGTCGGCGTCAGAACATTTGGAATTGTCTGAAATAGTCAACAGCAATTAAACATGCCTTTAACATAGCATGAATGTCTTCCCTTGGCTGCAATTTTTATGATTATTCCAAGTCATCTGTTAATATTGCTTTTTCCTGATAAGTCCAGCATCTTCTATTGAATATTGACCCCGAAATGGCGGGAAGGTACATGATGTCAAATCAGAAACTCGTGAACATTTTCAATGTTGATAACAATATTTTATAAAAATTTGTGAAATAAATTCCATTTCAAAGTTCCGTATGTTTGCTGCATAAAATAAAATTTAGTAACTTAACTTTAACTTCGAAAGAAATTAAACTTGTTACCTCACAAAAAACAAGATATAAAATGATTATTATTTAATAAAAAAAACAGTTATATTTTCTAATATTCTATAAATGATTTAAACAAAGCAGGATTTATCTTCCCTTCTTTTAATTTCAATGTTGATTCCTTAAACTAGAAACAAATTCCACAAATTTAGACATCTTCAACGTGTTGTTTACATTTAATAAACATATGATGTGCAGGATTACATATATACATGCATCAAATGACATACACTGCTGAAATGATACTTATATGAATTAAAAACAAACACTGAGAATGTGTTTTATCACAAAGCAAATCGTTATCCCCCTTCACTTTCCAACAAACAAGATGGCAGATACAGCCCAAAAGTTTGTTTTCCCCTTTTTACTCTGAAATTCGTAGTATGAACTGTTGAAGAGGACATTTAATTAATTAGGGCATAAGTGGATTGAAATATTAAAATAGACTTGGATTTAAAGGACAATTTGAAATCCACAAAGTAGAAACATGCGCCGAACGATATCACGGATATTTTGTGTGCCATACGTTATCATTTCCGGAAAAATGCCCCGATATTGATATCTACAGCGGTTATTCTAGCCAGAATGGGCATGAATGCTTAGATGATAATATAATACAACTTTTTAAAGTCATTGGTTTCAGTTAATGTATAAATATGTAAAAGAAACAGTGAATTTGAGGGAATAAGCCGAACGTTATCACAATCAAATCGGTGAAAAATTCTCTCGCATCGAATCTAGTGACGCGCATTTCAGATGAAGTTCGGGGCGAACTATCATGAAATAAATCCTGTGTTCCCGGACAATTTTGGAGAAGGCTGTTGATTATATCTTTACACTAGAATACCAAGAATTTCATATAAAAAATGAAAAACTTCCTTTTGGGCTGCATCCGCCATCTAGTTTGTTTGAGTAACAAACGGCGTAATTCTCCCGTGATCTTCATTGTATGTTTTTTTTTATAGATAAAAATATAAACAAATATTCGCAATTTATGTTAATATAAATGTATTTGTTTATTTTATGCAAAGCATACTACAACTACTTCAACCATGTTGCAATTAAAATAAGGAATATTTTCACACATTTCAACATGATTGGTATTTTCGTAGAAAGTGCCATTATTCAGATCAGATTTAACCAATTGATTCAATACATTGTAAAAGTACGGAAAATGTATTCTAAAGAAAAACGAACTTTTTCCATACTGCATCTCTTATTATGAAATATGGCTTATCTTACCGAGGTCCTTACAATAGCCAAGCTTTCCAAGTTTTGTCAGTTCTGCAGACAAAAAACATAATTAATCGATTATATATTGTCAATTAATCAGAAAGAAAAAATGTTCTAAAACAGCCATTAATATCAAGCATATAACAAATAGACAAAAAGAAAACTCAAAGTTTCTAAATAAAACAAATATTTGAAGAGATTAATCGAAACGTGTAAAACAGAAGGGGGGGTGGGTGGGAAATTGAAATTTGTTTGACTGATATTTGTGTAAAAAAGTGAAAGCCAGTGACTACAAAAATTTGAAAGATGTTGATCACTAGACCATACTCATGCAAAATATATGTTGCTAATTTGTCTTAATATAATAGCTTTACATTAATAAAACCAGTAAAGTAGGTCACTGGGTCAATATTTTAGTCATCTCTGATATTAGATTTCAAGTCTATACTTGCATAGGGTCAAAATGTCATAGACAGAAGTTCAGAAGGTCAATATCTAGGTCAGCTGATATCAAAGTTCAGTTTCAAAAACTGTGCAATTGTTCTATATTGCACAGCTAAACATTAAAGGACAATAATATAGGTCACTTAGTCAAAATGTAGAAAAGCTTATTTCAAGGTTTTATTTTACATCATAAAATGTATATCGTCCAAATGCCATAGCTGTATGTCAAATAACTAAAGATAATCACAAGGGCCAGTTGTTACCCCAATGCCAAATTAAAAAAAATCTTGATACAGGTACATGTAATCCAGACAATATTTCTTTATCAATTAACTTAGTTCTAGGTTTCTCTCCTTCAGTAAACTTTCTAGTTTTTCTTTTTTGTAATATAAAGAGAACTAATGACCCCCAGCGCAGGTCTTCTTTTGACCTCAGGGACATAATTTGAACAATTTTGTAGAGGTCCACTATGTTTCATGCCAAATATCTAAGCTCTGACCTTTGAAGAGACTTAGACCATCAGAGGCTTAATTTCCTAAAATATATTTTTGACATACACATCTATGGTCCCTTGCGCGGCCAGTTTTGACCCAAATCTTTCCTAATACATATAAGGAAAAACTATGATCCCTGAGGTGGGGCCACTTTTGACATTTAAGGAAAAAATAGAACACTTTCGGTAGACGATCTAAATGTGATATCACATACCAAATATCAAACATCTAGGCCTTGTACTTTGAGAAAAGGAGACTTTTATTCTGACCCTGTGAATGCTTATGAAACGGATTAGAACCATATCAACAACTTTGAAAGGGACAACCCAGTGATAATTACTGTAAAGTTTGGAAAATATGTGCAAATGACACCGTACAGTGACCTACTTTTTGCCAAAAATTCAGAACTACGTCTAATAATCCGTGGAAATTGCATGGAGGTAAATTATCACCATTTTGTGTCTCCAATTAATTATTTAACTTATTACTGGCATGACCGGCACTCCCGGGGTCCGACAAGGAAAGCTGCTTTCTGTGCACTTGAGGGTGGATTGGCTGACATTAGACATAGATTTCAGTTTGTTAGTCAAGTGAAAAAACGATGAAAGGAAATCCAGAGGAGCAGTAACACCATGTATATCCAGAAACACCGGACTGTATAGACAACGCAAAAGTATCGCCGGATCTGCGTAACGCTATGGTAGAAAACGAGTAACGCGGTTCATAGACGGACCACAATATTTTATCGAATATCAAAAAGGAAGAAACGAATACGCGCATACGGCTACTAGGACATAAAAACATAATACTTTTACCATCATTAAAAATATTTGCAGGACTTATTATATACTTTTTAAGAATAACGACCTGACTACAGTTTTGAAGGCGACGTTTGTGTTACGTCGAAATAAATAAGTACAATAACGCATTTAAAACTTCATATTTGGTATATGTTTGGCATTAGCCAAATTTTTAGTGTCAAATAATACTAAAAGGAAGCAGATGCAATATGAACCGCTACTATAAATAAGGTAACAAGAAAAGCTTGCGTTCATCATTCCCAAATCCGGCGCTACATCGTAAAATTTTCTCACTCTCATTTTATATGACGCGAAAAAATTGGCAAATGGCTCAGGCACATTTCTGCTTCATTAGTCATACACGGTGATCACGTGTGATGTAAATTTTGTAATTTTGTTATCAGATTCAAACATAATTAATGGGTTAGTTCGTGTAAGTAGGTGAGTGAGTAATACGTTAGTAGCTTCATATTTACGTTAGTAAGTTGGTGAGTTTGTAGTTAAAAAAATAACAAAATAAGTCAATTAATAAAATCTATGTAAATAACTTGAATACTTAGTACAAAAACCTGAAAACATAGTAAAAATATGTAACTAGAAAAGAATGTTATTTTTCTATAACTAGGTAAAAACTGAATAACTAAGTTAATAACTAGAAATCTATGTAAATAACTTAAATTACTAAGTAAAAAACAACAGAATTACTTAGATATCACATATTACTATAAAAAGTACATAATGTTAATAAGTAGGTTAATTGAATAATTACGTAAATAAATAGAAAATTAGATAAATTACTGAATGCCTAGGTACACATATTTCATAACTAAGTAAATTAATAACTTAAAATGCACCAGTGGTTTGAATATAGATGGGGGGGGGGGGTAGACAATACAGAATTGAGAATTGAAGCAATAGTCTTCTGCTTTGGCCGCAGTCGAAACCTCTTGTCTCTAAATACCGTAATTTTCGTATAAAAAGAATATTATAAACATTTAAAAATGTTATATAATGTTTGTTCCTGACACGATATATTTTAGCGCACCTTAGCCCAAAGTGCTTATGGTAAGCTTTTGTTATCCCACTTCAACCGACGTTCGTCGTCGTTCAATTTCTTAAACAACATCTCCTCTGAAAACAATGACCAATCGACAAAGATATTTTTGTTTCAGCGGAGTTGATTTTGTGATGTAAATCTAGCGTTAATCGGATAACACACATTTTACTGAAACACAAAATTTTCAAAAACAGTTGCTTTCAAAGAAAAAGAAACTGGCCACTTTTATTATTATAATACAAAAAAAGATATGTAGACACAAGACAATACTAGCTAACTTTATCAAAACTATTTAAAGCTATTTTTACGTACCGGGGCACGTGACATCATCACATTGTTCACGTTGAAGAGAGTCAAATCCGCACTGAGCATCAGAACCAGTTGAGCATTTTCTAGACCGGGTTTTGTTGCACGATCCACCTTTCTCTATTCTGCATGTCCAACTACTCCATTCCAACCAAGTTACTGCATTGAAAACACAAGAGCGATCAGTAATCACATGTGTCGCTTCATGATGGCCAATTTTATGTTGGGACAAGTTTTGTGACAGACGGACAGACAGGCGGACAGAGCACAACTAGACTTGGTACTGATCATTCCTGTAAAGTTTGGATAAAATTGCACCAGGAGTTTATGAGGAGTAGTCCGGGCAAGCTTTTGTGTATCTGGCAACACACAGAAAAAAAACACCTTTTTATCAAAGGGCCATAACTCGGCCAAAAATCATTCAACCGGAAAACCCCTGCAATATGCGCAAGGACTTGAGCTAAAGATCAATCCTGTAAAGTTTCATTGAACTTGCATTAGTGGTATAAGAGAAATAGTCCGGACAAACTTTAAAAATAAAAATTATTTAAGGGCCATAACTCTGACAAAAACCATTGAACCGGAAAATACTGACAAGGTACTGATCATTACTGTAAAGTTTGGATGAAATTGCACCAGTAGTTTTTAATGAGTAGTCCGGACAAGCTTTTGTGTATCTGGCAACACACAGAAAAAACACCTTTTTATCAAAGGGCCATAACTCGGCCAAAAATCATTCAACCGGAAAACCCTTGCAATATGCGCAAGGAATTGAGCTACAGATCAATCCTGTAAAAATTCATTGAAATTGCATCAGTGGTATAAGAGAAGTAGTCCGGACAAACTTTAAAAATAAAAATTACTAAAGGGCCATAACTCTGACAAAAATCATTGAACCGGAAAATACTGACAATATGCACAACTAGACTTGGTACTGATCATTCCTGTAAAGTTTGGATGAAATTGCATTGTAGTTTATGAGGAGTAGTCCGGACAAGTTTTGTGACGGACAGATGGACAGACGGACAGACAGCCGGACAGACGGACAGACAGACGACGGAGAAGTGATCCCTATATGTCGCCACTACTCCGTAGATGCGACACAATAATAGAAACTTTTACGTCAGAAAAGAAACTTCTACAAACTTGTTGCTAAACTCAATCAACAATATAATCTACATTTGCACCCGGGCAGCAAAAATTAAGTAAACTTGAATTTAAATATACCTTCTTCAAGCCGATGACATAATTTGATAATAATGTCTAACATTTAGTTATTATGTCAAACCTATTATTTGCGTATTTAAGCAAGTTAATATAATTATGTGGATAAGAAAATACCTTAATGCTCGCATTAAGTATCGTTAAATTCTCTCTCCCCCCCCCCTAAAAAAGTCTTAGCATTTCTTACTAAAATTTGTCAAAATCAAGTTCAGTTTGACTAACTTATGTTGTTATGTCTAAATGAAAAAAGAAATATGATACCTTTAATAGTGTCAAAATTATCGACAATCATGAAAAAGGATAAACCATAAACAATACTATAGAAGCATCAATACCTGGACATATTTCTTTCTTACAAGGTTCCACTTGGAAATGTTTCCCTTCAAGTTTCTCCTCACAATCAGCGGGATTATACGTGGAGCAATTTCGTGTGCGAGACATCAAACATATAGTGACATTTTTGCATTCCCATCCCGTCCATTCAAACCAGTAAATATAAGCTGATGACGACTCTACCGTGGGTTTACTTGCACTTAACGGGTTACTGGATGACGTGCTTGTTGAAATGGTTGTTTGATGTAATGTCATAGTCAATGACGCGGTTGTTGGAGTAGATGGCGTCGGCTCGAGTTGTGTAGATGAAGGCATCGACATAGATGTCGCAGCAGGTGTAGAAGCGGGTTTCTGACTTGAAATTGTTGACACCATGAATATATTTGTAGTAGCGTCTTTGGTAGGTGAGTACTTTGAACCTAGGCTAACTGCCGCAGTGGTTGCAGTTGCATCTGGTAAGTTAAATGGTTTCTGTGTTGTTGTTGTAATTGCCTTTGTAGATGTAGATACGACTTGAGTTGTAGGTGTTGTATTTGTTACTACAATTTGAAATTTTGGAAACAATCTTTATCACTAATAGAATGACGGAAACTCAAGAAAGGCTTTCGTATCGTATTCGATTAAAGAGTTTCAGAAGAGGGAGCAATAATTCATTGCATTCAGAATCTTTAAGATGGAAATTCAAAACAGGAACATTCTGACTATATTTTTCAAAAGGTGGTAATAACACACAATGTCTGTAACATATTTTAAAGAAAATCGGCAAAATGTACTAAATTATCGACTTACTTGTGCATGTCATGTTATTTGCACATGGAACCGTTTCAAAGTCTTTCCCTGGAAGAGTTGAACAAGTTTGGTCTGTAAATCCACTGATACAACTTCTCTGACGTATGTTCAAACATATATTTCCGCTTTGGGTACATGTCCACTTGCCCCATGGCGACCATTCTATTGAGAAAAAGAATGGATATTTTTTCTTAAAATCGTTTCTTGCAGAAAGAGATATATACCTTTTATAATTTATCATTTTAATAATATGTTATTGCTTTTGATAATTTACACCCAAAATACAACTCAAATGGGTATTGGGTCATTTTAACACCTCAATCAATAACATTGCATTTTTATATAATAGATAGATTAAAGGGGACTATCAAATAATCTCACGAGAAAACAATGGCCATAATTAACATTTAATCTGGCTACAATAGCGATGATATTTTGTAAATTTCATATTTTTAGAGTTAATATTCTGGAAAATTAAACTGCACTTCAACTTGTCTGTTAAAGATCCTCTTCGTCTTAGTGCAATTACAGGTTAACACATGAACAAATATGTCTAAACAATAATATAAACTACATGTCAATGTTCCATATAGTTAAGAATATTAGATATTAGTTTTAAAGATTTTGGACAAGTTATATGGAACTATTCAAACGGTTTGTTTGCATATATAACCGGATCTGCAAGATCTTATAATACAGCAGTCTTCCTTTTCAAGAGACGAAAAAAAAATCATAAATTGAAAGCAGTGGTGCATATTAAAAAAACGGAATACTGCACGTTTGTAGCGTTGCTATTCTTTAGATAATCGTGACGTATAAATATGTTTACACGACGTATAAACTGCTTCCGTCAGTTTCTCCAACAGTTTATTTTATATACTTCTTAAAATGACGTTTTTCTGTATTATAAATTCGTTATAAAGACTCTTCAGCTGTTATATGCCCGTCTCAAATTGCTGTTTGCAGGTTTTGAAAATCCTGGTCTTGTGGATCACATATGCAAACAACCGAATATATAGGGCAAAACACCTGTCAATAATCCTTTATAACTAACACTATTAACATTACAATTATCCAATGAAAACGTCTGTACAAACGTGCAGCATTATAAGGCTTGTTATATAATGGGTTTACTGTCTGTTATTCTAAGTGATAATGTAAACATATACCTGCAACACAAGGACATGTGGTGATATTTACTTCACTTTTATCTGGACAATTGAAATCAATGGTTGAATTACATGTGCGAATTTTATAGCAAACATTGTTCTCATCTTCCTCACAACGCCAATTAGACCATCCGCCATCATGACTGCTAACGGAAGAAAAATCTAGAAAAGAATTTAATTTCATTGTAACAGTATCACGTTATCATTGATCAAACATAACATTATTTACACATTCATTATTTTTTTGTTCTTCAGCTAAAACAAAAACAAAAATGCGTATATCTTCTTTTGAAAAACCTTAAAAAATTGATGTTTTACAAGTGCTAGACATATAACAGCGACTTACTTTTGCAGGGCTTATCACTATCACACTGGACCGTTTCAAAGTCTTTGCCATGAAGCTCAGAGCAACTAGTTTCTTTAAATCCACGTATACAACTTCTCTGACGTATATTCAGACATACATCTTGGTTTTGAGTACATGCCCAATTGCCCCATTGCGTCCATTCTGTGGTATAATGAATAGGGGTGTCCTTTTTATCCGTTTAAACGGCTACGGTCGGTTTTTAGCTAAACACCGGTTAAAAACTTCAATAACCGGTAACTGAGGTTAGTATTTGTCTAAGGGGTGGAACAGTTTTAAATTTATTCTAAATATTACCTTAGTTTTTTTTTTCTGACAAGATATGACAATTGTTTGTACTTTAGTGATACTCAACAATGTGTTTTTCTGATCTGATCGAATACGGTACAACCCTAGTGAAAAAAATTACTACATATTCGGATATATATTTTAATCATTTTGAGTAAAAAAGTATGGACAAAATAGCATATCTTGTCATAAAAACAAAGTTAATGTTTAAAATCTAAGCATTTTATTATTACGGTTGGTTAAACCTTTAACACTTTTATTACGTCGTATTTAAACGGTTAGCATTTCTTCTAACAGTGACACCCCAAATAATAAAATGCTTATTTTCTTGAAATTATCTCGACATGTTTTTTTTTACATATTTTACAGTAAACATGAATCTATTGTTAACAATAATTATATGTGTTACTATAGTAGAATACGGCAATATGATGTATGCTATGACCAGCATGCACGTCCCTAGTTGCCATGCGAAAATTTCATTAAATCCATTTTCATTAAAATGTAAACGACCTGAAACAAAACGGTTTTGTAGAATTTAAAGCCACGTATCATGTCGTATTCGTATAAACCGAATAATTCTGTCTTACTAATCTTTTATTCCTCAATGTTTTTTTTTGCATATAATAGAGCACTTGTCACATGTTCCACTATTTCAGTTGACATTCCAGTATAATACATCGCTTTCTACATAGGAAATAAAATGAATAAGACTTTAACCTATCGATTAACTGCCCATAATGCTTACGTTACTAAATTCTAACACAACATATTTGCCCCAAATTGAAAAGTTTACATTCTGACTAGTCTTTGAATGATAATAATAGTAACACATACCTGCATCACAGGGACATTTTATAAAATGTATTTCATTTTTCTTCGGGCAATTGGAATCAATGGTTGAGTTACATGTGCGAATTTTAAAACAATTATCTTTAGTTTGCTCACACCTCCAATCAGACCATACACCATCATGTCCGCTTACAGAAGATGTGTCTAAAAAATAAGTTAATTTTTGTCTCATAACTATTACATGTACATTGATTGGCATACATATATAAAGTTTTTATTTATATTCATCTCCCATGACACGTGTTTGTCATTTCGGAGCTTAACACTCTTTATAATTTTATTGACAAGATATGGAAGAAAAATATGTATATGCGTATATAAAAAGTTGACATAGGTAAATTTTCATTATTTTTTAAAAACCTGATTAAAAGTAACAACTGCACTTTCAGCTTTTGCACCACGTGATGTTCCATTCGATTCAACCTAATCAATTAAGCTTCGTTTTTATTTCCAGAGTCGGGAATTCCCATTATTAAATCCACCATTCATCCCAAAAAGCCTCATTTTCATTTCCAGTGTCCAAACTGTTAATACCAACTCCATATCGCGCCCCAAATGGCATCGTTTTTGTTTTGTAGCGTTAAATCTTTATCAAATGCATATAGTACTCCATCCTGCCTCGTTTTCATCTTTTGAGAATAAAAGATCCATCTTATCTTATACAAAGTTCTGTCAAAATGTCAATTTTTTTTCTTTTAAATGCTAGTATGAAATAAAGAGGTCATTAAACATGGTTGAGAACAATACTGATTCTATCGGACTTGTACACAGCTGCAAAACTTATATATCAGTCGCAGTAATATAGTTTTGACGGCTGTGTACTCGTCCAATAAACGTATGTATTGTACTGATAACTTCATAATGCATACGCAGAAAAATAGTTTAATATCACCAATGCCTAAACGATGTTTATCAGTTTTTATAAATTATGAGAAATGTTAGTCTTGTGCATTATAATTCATTGGGAATAACATGCATCAATACAGAATGCCGAACATATTTGTTGACAGTAATGAGCATACATAATATCGCATAAGCTAAGGAACTGCATCAATATACAAGTATTATATAGACTTCAATAATCAATTAAAACTATTTTTATTTCTTCTTTGTTATCTTGGAAAGTCTAGGAAAGTTAATTTTAAGACCCATTTTGCCCCAGAAATGCTTTATTTCTATTTTCAAAAGATTTTATATTTGATATCCGGTTATATTTTCTAAAAAAAGTACTCAATGGCCAATTACTTAACTTCTATTGTTTTGTTTTGTTTTGTTGGCAATAAGTACCTCTATAGATGTTTAGTATTTTGTATGAAAGTAAAATTACTACTTTGTATACATTGTGGTACTTTTATGACCAATGATGGCACATATAGCACTACTTTACTCATCTGATATTTATCTTGTTTATGTGTTAGTAGTTCAGTCATATTGGCGGGCAGTTTCCTTACCATCGTTCCTAGAGAGTTACACCAGTACTAGACTACCTTCCTCCGTGCTTAACTACCAAAGCATCTCCCGGGGATCGAACCCACGCCAGAGAGGTAACTGGATTAGAAGTTATCGACTCTAACCCTTCGACCCCGCAGGCGATTGATATTAATCAGACATGCACTTAAATCATTATCAAAACATTATTAAAACTCATTTAAACCTTTTTTACAAAAGAAAATATTAATTAGTTTCTTAGAATTAATGTACCATTTAACTGCTAAAATCGATTAAGTGTATAGTGTAAATATCTGCTGCAAATATTATTGCTTGAATTTTGAAAAACAGCACTCCCGAAATACCTGTATGGAAGAATATATTGATTGATTTTCTTCAAAACGAATGACACATGTACAAAGTTATTGCTTAGTATTGAAAATGTTACCCTTTGAAAACGTTAAACTTGAATTTTTGCTGAGTGAACTTCTTCGAATTAAAAGGTTGTGTATAATAATTATGGAGAAAAGATAATGCTTTGGTTTTTATTCTTATTATAACACGCTATTATACTTAATGGTATTATTGTTCTTCTAAACGATAAAAACTTTAATTGAAAATGATAACACTTTTATTCCAAATTCTAATATTATCATTCTAAATAATAATCATATTATTCTTAATAAAAATTAATGTTATTTTAAATAATATTACTAATACATGTACTATTAATGATGATAAATGAATTACTATTTCAAAGGATAATTCTGTTAGTCTAAATGATAAAATGGTGTCCTAATGGTAAATGAGATGGACTAGAAATATATAAGGATTGCTGGACCTGTTGGTTCAAATACCACCAGAAGCCAGCAGTTGTTTCCTTGAGCAAGACTTGTTACGCTCATTGCTTAGTAGTGGTTAGTTTGAGAAACTGATTATGGAGTGTTTTACTAAGGTTATAGCTAGCAACATATCAAAAAAAATGAAGTCTTATTAAGCAAATTCTAAATAATACTACTGTTATCCTAAATAAAAATAATGTGTTTCTAGATAGTAATACACTTGTGTTTTGTTTTCTTAAGGATATAATGGATATTCTGTCGATAATGATAATAACAAGCAATACCTGCAACACATGGGCATGCGGTTTGATTAACTTCAGATTTAGTTGGGCAATTGAAATCAATGGATGAATTACAAGTGCGAGTTCGATAGCAAATATCTCCTATTTTCTCACATCTCCAATTCGACCATCCGCCAATTTGTCCGCTGACTGTAGAAATATATCATAGCTTTAACACAATTTTTATCCTCGATTAGCATAGTTTCACTATATAAAAATACTGTTCTTATTGCAAAACAAAATATCGTTCGATATTGTGACAGGGAGTACACTTCCCTCAAGTCAATGTCATCCAGGTAATGCTGAACAATAATTGTGCCAGGAATCTGACTTTACGTGTCTTATATATAAATTTTATATATATACACGCTCTTAGTGGTTGATTACAACGCATTGGACATTTATTAATTGTATCAAAATTGAACGATAACTTTTAATAAGCAATGGATCTACAGTAAAGCCTTATATTTGAATATAAACACAGTTGATAATATATTAAAGGCCTCAAACACTTAACACTTAACAAATCCAATCAAAATAAAAAAGTACACGTGTGACCTCGCTTTACTGTATAAAAGGCGGCTATTAAAGTTTTGGAAGCCAGCACTATGTCCGCATAGCAATATCCCAATCATCTTCACTGTCGGGTACATGAAACGGTGCAGATTTTTTCGTGATACGGTGCTTCGATCAAATATGGAGGAAGGTAACCAACTAAAAGGCACGTCTCATTTTATTTTCTATTTATTTAGACAAATCCGTTTTATATTGTAAAAGAAGAAAATTTGCATGTAAAGTAAAAAGTAACGGTTACGGAAAATCCGCGCCGTTGCTTAGTGTCTGCACCGTTGTCGAGACGAAACAGAAAGTAGACAAATTCAGACAAAACAAATTGACAGAATTTTTTTTAAATTGCACAGATGATTTTATACATTTAGTGTAATAAAAAAGAGTATTCACTTCAATATAAGTATCCCTTGTACGGAGATTGACTCAAAAATTTACCACTTCGCTCGGTTCAAATTCCATGTACATTTATTTACAAAAGTTTTGTGTAAAAATCATTTATATCATATGTTACATACATTATGAACTTATTGATCTTATAGTGAATTTCTTTTATTAGAAGGACACCAAGGGCTAGTTTTCCCACTAGTTTTCTTAAGAAGCAAGCCTTAATAGTTTAATAAGATTGGCATTGTATTTGTTCTGTTACTGAAGTACAAGTAGGATTGTGATGCATCAAACGCATCCCTTTGTAGTACCAAACCCCCTTGCCATTACCCTGACGGCTGGCGGTTGGATGCGAATTTCTTAGGTGCACTGACACGTATCTTGATCAAAGCGATGAATCCAAGTCTTATCTCCTGTTACAGGACGAGAGGGGAATACTTTGAGCTACTGTCAACAAGCATATCAGTCACGTGGAGTTAATCACATCCTTTTTAAAGAATTTTGTGACTGCTCTGAACTCAACATTTTAACTTTCCATTCATGCCTATGGATAGCAGTCTCTCAACAACAATTAAAACCCCAAATATGTACGTTAGAATGGACGGTTGTCATCATTCAACTGACAAAGGATTACACTGCACCAAAATATAGATAAAATCTATGTATGGAAAAATAAGATGTACGAATTAATTGAACTCCCTTCTTCTCGTATCTAATAAATAAAAGATACTGAATGACTTAATTTATTAAGCATGTTGAATAAAAGTAGATGATGCGTGTCTATGAGCTGACGGTACCGCTTGGAAGATATGTTGCAGTTTTTTATATGATTAAACGCTATTGTTTAAATTACAGTAACTGAAAGTAATTAAAGAATATTTACCTGTTTTAAAACAACATATTCCTAACAAAAGAAGGCACAAATTTGTTACCGAAATGGAATTCATCAGTCACAAATCCAAAGCTTTATGTTTACTCTAAAATCCAGTTTTTAGTTTTTCCCAATAATTGTGACACAATTTATCATGCATTCATCATATGATCCGTTTTCTAGTTTGAAAAATGAAATAAAAATCTTTTACTGTTATTCTACCATTTAAAACGATCTCTGTTAAGGACACTTATTTGCCCTATTTAGTCTGTAAGATAAGACGAAATTAAGATTAGAAATTAAAATTAGTGCAACAGTAAATGTCCGCTGCACATTTTGTACATATCTTGATAGCAGATATACATGTCTGCAAGTTTAACGACTACAAATTTAGGCTGCCTTCAAAATTAATTTTGGCTTGTATGGCTTGTATGGAAAATATCATATTTTACTTGAAATATAATGAATTATTTAATTTTACCTATGAAATATGGTGCTATATCAGTCGAATATATTTTATAATTTTTCAAAATAAATATGAAATATAAATATGAAAAGTGGCGGTGTCTATTTTTTTTCAAGGGACTTCTTTCGCCATTTTGTTTGAATAAAATGATCAATAAAAAACAAATTTTTGCTTAATTTTGTTTTGGAAACTGTCTAGAATGATAGAAAATGGTATAACCGAGAAAATATCCTTAATTCAGTCATTACCATTGAACAGACATTTAACGAGTATTTTACGTAACGTTAAATGGCAGTAATAATTAAAAATTACAAATGTTCAAAATATAAAAAGACTGCTCAAACTTTTTTTATATAATTTTAACACTATAATCGATAATTTCCGAAGGATATTTGTAGTTTTTCGTGTCGGTCACATGGGTTTTTGATTACTCACGTGACGTTTATCATAAAAGTGATAATAAATATGACAAAATGTAAAGTTATTTTAATGTTTTACTTAAACATTCATCAATTATTCTTGCATTGGCATAATGTCACTTGAACAAGCAACTGCGAATGCCCGATAATAATGTGCTTAACAATTTCGAATAAACACATAGAAAGAAATTAAAAGAAATGCATCATAGGAATGCATTCTTATTTATTTGTATGATGTGTGCCTTGGTCAGGCGAAACAGTATACAGTGTATTTGAGCCCCGCAATGACAAAACCAACATAGTGCGTTTGCGACCAGCATGTATTCAGACCAGTCAGGACCAATGTTGTTTGCCTACAAACCCTATTACAAGTAGAGAAACTGATAGCGAATATCATTGATCCTGATCAGACTGCGCGGATCCATGCTGGTCGCAATCGCACTATGTTGCTTTGTCATGGCGCGGCTCATTTATTTCCATATAAATTCCAATGGTACGATAGTCCATTTCAATCATATGGTCATCATGTGTTGATATTAATAGTTATGAAAAAGACTGATACTATATATCAACAACTAACGTGGAGCACGTGGGTATAAACGTGTTACGGACAATTATAATCAAAGATAAGAATGGAATGAGTCTGTTAAAGAGATCCCATGATCATCGTTTAGTTAAATATTCTAATCACAGGAATTTATTAACATCTATAAAATTCTTACTTAATATGTCATGTTTGAGTAACGGAATGAATACACTATATATGGGAAGCTGTGTTCCTGTAACATGTGAAGTAAAGTTGGTCTTCTCTCAAAAACTGCCTGCTTATTTAATGGCACTTTATATACATTGTGACCACTGATAGGGTTTAAAATTTTAAAGATATCTTTTGTGTATGTGAAGCAAAAAAAAACTGTTTTATTTAAATTTTATTTCAACTTTGTAGCAATATGAGCCAAAGTATTTCAAGAAAATCACACTTGCGCAAAATGTACTAAGATTTTAAGAACAATAAAACGATTAAAAGTTAAAGAAATGACCCATATGACTGATTTTGCTCCGGTATTTATCACCATATTTCTACTGTGTGTCTTACTGAGTGATGGCAATCTTGCATTTTCTGACCTCTTTTTTTTTGGTAATTTACGTTGATTATCTGTGTCGTTTTTAAATGTTTAAAGTTCTTTCTTTGGTTATATCATACTATTTTTTTAAGATACATTTCCAATATTGTTAATGAAAACTATCATGAATCTGGTGGCTAGTTGCTTTAAACTAGTAGTTTAAACAAATTCAATAAAATTAATGTGCAATATAACCGTAATGAATACGATAAAAGCATTGCTTTGACCATCTCAAAGTATAACAAGACTTTTGTCCTACTTAATTAGTTTACTAAAATTGTATCTATATTTGATATAAGATAAAAGACACACTCATGAATGTTGTCTTAAAACCAACCAGTACTGAGCAATGAGTGTAAATTTTCATGCTCAAGGAAACAACGACTTGCCCCATACCGGGTTTGCACCCCGTTACTGCATATCGTTAGATTACTAGCCCAGCATTTTAACCACTCGGCCTTGCAATCACACTTATTTATTTACAATGTATTCATATTATGAGCAATCAAAAGCAAGTAAAATATAAAATAAAATCTAACATTCTAGCATAATTCATTTACATGTGATTCACATTACCTCATAATTGCTTAAGCCTTGACTATATATTTACCAATGAAAAGTAATTTTGACTGATTAAAAGCCTTAAACAGATTTTTTTGTTTATTTTCAACGTATTTTGTCTTTATCGATTAATTATTTTGCGTAGTTCATTTTGTTGCGATTGTTCGTTGTTTCACATATATACGCACTTGTTCGCCTTTAACATGTTCGTTTTAACCGAGCGTGTATAAAGGGTCATCGTTATCTATAACAAATCTAATATTAGCTTAAAACTTCCTGTTTCCATCACGCCGTAATTCAACTATGCCTCTTCACAGACAATAGACTTGAACATAAAGTAGTCAAATACATAAAATATAAAAGATTTGGTTTAAACATATTTATTCGATATATTTACGAGATAAGCAGTATTTACACAATACAATTTGGGATTGGACAGAAAGCTATTAAAGCTTATGAGTGTCCTCTCCCAGACAATTGGCCAATTCATTGTCAAGCATTTGATTGGTTACAAACACTCGAAGCACTGTTACACAGAAGAGGTTAAATATTGATGTGTTTCCATGTTTTATAAGTTATTTTATTATAAACAATTCTTATTTTAAACAATTGATTACTAGTATTATATTGTTATTTGTACATGATATGTCATAGTTTTGACTTATTTATGATCAGAGATGTTTATGAACGAATGAACAGTTACATATCTGGCATCATTGTGAGACATTTTGCGAATATTAACAGATATGAAAAATCACAAACGATTATCCTCTTATAATCATAGGCCGTTTATTGAGACTTATATTCATATATTTCATATCTGAATACAATTGCGAGCTTTCAATGTTCATTTGCGTGCTCATTTTATTCTATACCGGGCTTCACAAGTAGCAAAATATACGTACTAAACAGGTGCGCCTTACGATTTATAATATGGTAATAAAAAAAACACTTGAGCCGTGTCATGACAAAACCAACATAGTGGGTTTGCGACCAGCATGGATCCAGATTAATTTAGATGAGAATCCGTGCAGTCTGATCAGGATTCATGCTGTTCGCTTTCAGTTTCTTTACTTGTTATAAGGTTTGTTAGCAAACAGCATGGATCCTGATCAGACTGTGCGGATGCGCAGGCTGGTCTGGATCCATGCTGGTCGCAAACGCATTATGTTGGTTTTGTCATGACGCGGCTCATTTATCTTTTATAGAAAGATTCAAACAGTAGCGTGTAAAGTTTTTGTACGAGCTTAACCAACATCATCTAGCTTACAAAATGTCTGTGGTTCTTCTCAAGTGTCTGTTCGTACACAGACAGATGGAAATCCAAGGTCTTCCTTAACCAGTTTGGCCGGTGCTAAGGAGTGCATAAAATTAGTTCATCAAGTCATACCTGAATCATCTTGAGAAGGTCTTCTTTGTTAACCTTTCAGCTTCCCATATCTTTGTCTTAACACTTTGCATATTAGAAAAAAAACCAATAGAAGTGATTATATCATTTCAGCAAGTCTGATATAGATGTAACTTGTTTGTTTCCTTTCTGTTTCCTTTCTGTTCTCGCCTCATTTTGCTTGTTTACTATAAACTATATAAATGTTATCTAAAAGCTAAAAATCCATGAAATGTAAGATTGTTGACTCCAAAAAAAAAAACAACAACAAAGTATAGTATTTAATGAAACAACATATAGTTAGTTTACAATAACAATATATTAGTTTACTATTCAACAAACATGATAAATAAGATCAAGAAGGAAAAGCGACGTTCAATGAACGCAACCCCACACGACCCAGCAACAAGATCCAGAGGCAAGAAATACAGACGGGCACCAAACAAAAATGGGACAGGGCACAAACACGAGCAGGTCAATTACTAAACTGATAAATAATTTGTAACTGATAAGGAATTCAAAGAAAACAAATGAATGATTGAATAATAGAAAATAATTTGTAACTGATAAGAAATTCAAAGAAAAATAAATGATTGAGTAATAGGCCAACAAAGTCAAAGGGCACAGGAGAAAAGGACTCAAGCAAAAGTGTCACCAAAACAGCATGAAACAACACAGACATACATCTGAGGAACAGAGAGGGGCGCCGCCTCGGAACGGTCAGCAGCACAAGTACTGCTGGGGACTTTAAACCGGTTAATCGTGCACCAAACCTCAATCTTAGCCCTATCATGTTCCTATAAAATTATCATATTTCCTGTAAAAAAATTAATCCCCGCCAAGTTAAATTCTAACAGTTGTTATGGTCACAAACGGTTAAATAAATAAAACACCATAATGATTATGTAAAACACATATGAAAGTAAGCCCAATGACCATAACAAAAGTACTCAATGTCCTTAAGGAAGATAGAACAACTAAGCCTAAACTCCTTAAACAGACCAATAAAATAGCACAAAAAAGTTCAAAAACATAGCACAATACAGTCCAATACAATAGCACAATACAGTCCAATAAAATAGCACAATACAATCCAATAAAGTATGTGTAGTATAATACAGTTCAATGATTATTATAGCACAATACTGTCCAATGAAATAAATATAGTACATTATACTTAAGTAATATTGCACATTACAGTCTAATAAAGTAGCATAATACAGTATATTGAAATGGCACAATAATGTATAAGCTGTATATTGTATTGCTTCACTAAACATACGTAGTATTTATTTTAAAGAAACACAAATATTACGCACTTAAGTAGTGTTGTGCTTTGAAACGAGCATGAAAATGTTTGACGTCATGGAGCGCGCGAATCTTACCGCCTTTTCCACGAGTAAATGTCCGCAGTATCGATTTTGAAACAAAAATATTATTCAGACAAAATTATGGAATAGTTTGGCATCTTATTATGACATGATATGTATTAGGTTAGGTCTTACTCACAAGTGTTAATAGTCAGCGAACAGGTAAAAATAAAAACAAAAAAACTTGAGATGTTGCCATACTTGTGTTCAATTAAATATTATTCTATGAAAAAAATAATGCAGGCGACCAACAGACTTTAAATATCGTTCAGAATGTGTAGGCACATATATTTCGTAAAAAGAGTCTTTTTACATTCTATGTTGTTTTTTTATATTGCATAATAAACATTTTTTTCATTATCAATTATTTGTGAGTCGTGATATTAATAACTGTCAATCTTTGGAAATATATAACGAATTCAACTCAATTTAACAGGGAAAAAATGACAAAAATGTCACTTTAATTGTAATTTAATCAATGCTGTGACACGTTTGAGAGACCGCATGGTAAATAAATTAAGGTTGTTCCCTTCGATATTCGGCTGACCCGGAAATACGGAAATGTACGAACACAAGCTAGTCGAGGAATACAAAGTATTGAATACGGATACGAATTTTGTATTTCTTTTGTCAAATATGAACGTATTTTGTAACAAAAAAAAACATTTAGGCATATAAGTTATGTTCGTTTTTTACGCCGTCATAAGGCGCGTTTACTTATGTGGGTATAGACGATACATTTTTATGTTCTGTGTAATGATGATAAGTATCGTGCTTTTTTCTGTATCCTTACTATATTTGTTTACTATCTGTGCTAAACACATCATAGTCATTGTTTATTGGAACGTTTTTCTTATCAGTTCCATCACCTGTAGTATCATATACTGCATCTGCAGAGTCTGTTTTACTGTTTCCCCTTAGCTTGCCGTCGTATGAAGCATAATCACTGAATGAATGAAGAATTGCTTTGTTTTGGTTTTCTTCTGTAGTGTCATAAACATCATCTCCACCTTCCGAAAATGTCCCGCTTTGATTACCAACATCAGCAGGTTTGTTAGACCTAACACTGAGTACGGCATACTCATTGCTACCTTTTAATGGTCGGTTGTCCTTCTTATCGTGCGTTGTGTCATAGACCTCTTCAGTGAATACCTTTGGTTCCTTAATAAACTTTTCATTATTAACAACAGCATATTCACTACTATTATCGGGAACATTCTGTTGGTCTTCATATGTTGTGTCATACACTGTTTTTGCACCACCATCCAACTGTTTCTTCGGTTCTAAAGGCTCGGCATAAGTTGAAGCTAAAAAATAAAAATAAAAGTATTCGAAAGGTAATGTCGCATTTACCAATGGCTATGGTCAAAAGAAGTAGAATGCAAGGAGGCGGGGGCTTTATCCTAAAGTTACTGTTATAAAACCACGTAATTCTTATTTATAGATACTTGTCTATATAATTGACTTTGTAGTCCCCTATCAACCGTCCGATATTCGGTTTTTACAGATTCCGGTATTGTCAATGTTTAATACAATAGTTTAAAGAAGGGAAAATTTGGGACTGAATTATTCGTCCGGTATTTAGAGAGTTCCGATTTTCTAAGCGTCCGGTTTTCTCAAATTTCACTGTACATGTAAACATGAGTTACCTTTTATTTCAGATGAGGTAATTTCATTTTTAGATGTTCATATGTCCTGCTTATGTGTCATTATTGGCCTATCACTGGAGAATTACAAAGGTGGTTAAACCCTTGGTCTGTGTTGCATTAAACAGCGTCCCAAAAACTATTTTTGATCCAAGACATATTATTTTATGAAATTATCACAACAATTGAGACTGACCTGAATTTTGACTGATAATTGCAAATATCTACTTTACTTTTGAAACTGAAGTACTTGAAAGAATATATTAATATAGTACTACATGTACTACATGTTTTATAAATTAATGAAAGATTTTAAGATATTCAACACCAATTAAAAACTCCCATTCAAAGGTATTAACCTGATTCAATCTCTTCGTAGTTGATGGCACTCATTTGCATATTCTGTGTGTTTTCATTTCCTGTGCATGTTTTATCAGTTGGTGGTCTTTGTCTGAAATGTTAAAACGAAATTTTTATCTCAGCTCTTACATATTGCTTTTAGCCATTCATCAAAACAGGCGTATTTTTCAATGTTGCTACCTTTTTTGACTATTTTACAATATATTATAAATTGAATAGCTTTTCATTTTAATATATTTACTCAGCAATCCAAAATAGCATTATTTACGCAGCAATCCAAAATAGCATTATAAATAGACTTTTACCAATACAAAGTTTGATGCGTCCGTTACTCACTAGTCAGGGTCGTTGAATTCAAGCAATTTGACTCATCGCTTTGGGCTCGAATCCTGCCTTTTTCTTCAGATTCTTTAACGTGAGGAAGCTATCAAGCTAGTTAAGTACTCAGCGCTATTTGACTCAAATGATAACATCTAACATGACTTATATTCTAAAGCCATACAAACAATACTATTACAAAAATGAAATATTAATTTGTGTGCCTTCAATTATATGTACTGTACGCACCTTCTCTTTCGTTTTACCAGACAACATGATAGAATAATTAGCAAGATGATTACAACAAGACCCACACCAGCAGCTGTAGAGATAGTTATTAGAAGCTTGTTGTCCTCTTGTATAGCTTTAAAAGAAAACAGAATGTGATTGCATAAAATTTGTATCTTTACCTTATTATAGAACACACAAGTACGAGGAATATCATTCAAAACTGACCTGTTTGTTCCTTCATGTAAAGAACATTTGGATTAAATTAGAAACATTATTCACTATTGAATATGAATACGAAGATCAGCCAATGGAAATGCCGTTCGCAGAACTCAGCCTACAATAGCGACCAGTCAAACAAGTCCATCGAACGTAAACTGGACACAGCCTGGAAGAGCACAAGGGCGGTGAATGGGAGAGTGGGCTTCTAAAAACTAAAGTTTTAGCACTTGATTGTTACACATTGATATTTCATACACAACTATTGATACAACTTAAATGTATGCCTATTTGGTGTATGCTGTCTTTCTCTAATATTTATGATAAAGATGGCTGGATACTTTTTATTTCTCAAAAAATCTAACGTTGTTTACATAGTCTTACCTTTAGAACATTTCACCCCTTCATATCCTTCGATACAACCAAGCAGACATTCCAATGTAACCTGGTTACAAGTCGTATTTTTACATTGACTGCTGCATCTGTTCTCACATCTACTGCCATGAAAACCGTCTTTACATCCATAAAAACAATGCCCATTTACACCATCACATATGCGTTTACTTTCGTTTGACTTGCATGTATGAGGACATGAATCGTTGCAAAACAGCCCAAAATAATTCATTTTACACCCATCCGAGCACTGTCCCGTTTTCCAATCACACCCTCCATTGTTGCAAGTATCGTTACAATGTTTTTCACAGTGTTTCCCGTATCTTGTAAACGACTTACATCCCTGTAAACACATCCCCGTATCACTTGTGCAAACTCGGCTATTGTCACTATCATTACAATGTGTGCTACATTTTCTTAAGCAATCGTCAGAGAACGTCTCACGCGTGCACTCTAAACATTTTCCTTCAATTTGACTGCATTTTTCACAATTTTTAGCGCAATTTTCCGCGCATCTTTCACCCCATTTTCCATGCACACATCCAAGTGTACAAACACCAGCATCATTGCATACATTGTCTTTACAGTTATATTGACAATGTGTACATATACTTTGATTTTTTCCGTAGGGGGTGACCAGATAATATCCACTGTCACATTTTATACACTCTTTATAGCTACCTGATTCATTTGTGCTACAGACTTGGCACTTTAGTTCTATATTACGACACGATTTGGAACAGTTGACCCCATATGTTCCATCTTCACACGTGTTGTTGCAAAAGTCTCCCGCTAATCCCGGTTTACAAACAAAGCAACGGCCATCAGTAAATGAGCATGATCCGTTACAGCCAGATGGACAAACACGATTACATGTTTCCCCAAAGAAGCCATTGTTACACTGTGTACAAGTTGATCCCGAAGTACAGGCTGAACAATTCCCCGAGCAATTTAAATCACAATACTTTCCATATAATCCAGATGAGCAGGTATCGCATTTATGCCCAGTAAATTTAAGCTTGCATCCCCTACTGCAATGTCCATTTTTTTTACTGCAGTTACCACCGTTGCAGCCGTGTGGACATATGTACTGACAATGTGGTCCGTAATATGCGTTGCTTTTACAAACAGAACAGTAGCTGTCTGATGTACAGGATACACAGTTAACTGGACAAGTATTGTTACATTCATCACCATATTTATTCTCGGAACAATAATCACATTTACCTTTGATAAAATCAGTTGATTTACACGGGCAATCCCCTGTTGTCGAGCATGTATTATTTACACATCCTTTTCCGCACGGTATATTACATTTTGTAGAATAGTACCCAGGCTTACATTCTGTACAACTGTATCTAGTTTTACAAGTATTGCAATTTTCTGGACACTTTTCTGTGCATTTGTCGCCAAAATACCCAGCTGTACATCCGTCGACACACGTTTTATCGGAATCACACGCGTACTTTCCGTTTTTGCAACATACACATTCAGGACATGTATGTATCGATAATCCTAGAAACAATATCAAATATTATTTATTTTAATTTAAATTGATTTCACAATATCTAAAATTAACATGCCTACTTATGTTGATTTATTATCACATTTTACTTAGAGGTTAATGCTTGGTTGATGCTCACCAGTATGCGATAGCTCAAATATGTTACCCCACCCCCTCCTCAAAAAAAAAATAAAAAAAAATATATATATATATATATATATATATATATATATATATATATATATATATATATATATATATATATATATATATATATCTAACAAGGCTTAACATGTACAGACTCTATCAAACCGAGTCTGCAATTCTCTTGTAATTTTGTTGTGATTAATGCTTCCGAGGGATCACTTTGTTTCCAGATTATAAGTATATGTATTCAGCGTTTCCTTTCCAACAGGCTAAATCAAACTGAGACTGCAAAGTTTTTAATTTTGCTGTTTTAGACGTTCTATGGGGATTCATTATTTCTCTCTATTTTACTGTCCACTTGTTATGATTCCGACATTATTTGATTATGTTAAATAGCATAAAATAAATATTATATCATTCTGAAATAATCTTCACTCTAGCCAATGTTGTAGACTCAAATTACATTTACATTCTAAATTTATGTATTTCATTTTTTTTTTTCAGTAGAACTACTTAATTACATATAAGATCGGTGCAGTGAATTCAAATGGTTCTTACAAGGGAATAATCTTGATTTGTTTGCAAAATTAGCGCTTTAACATTGCCTTTGGCACTTTTTTTAACGATGCAAACTTACTTAAATCATAACAATCAATTCAAAATAACACATTGTGTATAAAAAAACAACTGAATTTCAAAGAACAAGATGAATGTAAATACATTAAATGAAAATAAAAATATACATACCAAATTGTAAGAATATTATTACAGATATAAAAGACAGACCAGTTGGTGTCATCTTTCCTAACGCAACAAAACCTAAAGAAGATCTTAAAAACAAAATGATTACGAATATTAATAAATGGTACAACTTATTTTAGTATCATTGTTATATAAAGAAATGCAATGCCGCATGGCCTTTGTTACATAAATTTCGTTATATTTATCTATGTACTTTTTGTCACGCAAGAAAGTGTTTTTCGATGACGTCATAATCTAAGAAAGTATCAATATGGCGGCCCGCATACATGATTATTAGGGTATATCCATTTAAATTTGTAATCTTTGTAAAATGTACACATTATGGGATCGATAATAAAATTATAAGTATATTATCTGAAATATAACTTCTCTGTCTTTTGCACACTTTTATTTGTACAATATTTGACTACGCTTTGAATATCAATATATTAAACTAAATATTATATGGAGACTTATCAACACATATTATATAATGAAATAAATACTAGTATCATTATAACAAACGCAAATACATCATAAAATATATCATCCTTACTTGCAATAATAAAATATCCGTAATTTGAATTACTCACTATTCATTTTCTGACTAAGACAACTGTGTTCCTTTAACACCGCCTTTCCTTGTTGATCTTGTCTATCATATTTTAAAGTATCCGGTAATTTATCTCAAATAATGAAACACATATTGATAGTTTAAGTTGAACAATGCTTATTGTTGATACATCTAACACTTAAAACGCAACAATACATAAGGAAATATATTGCCTTGAGATAAATGTGAACCGGAAAAAATGCAAGATTGTATCCTTTTAACTTCTCACGTGCCTACATCATATTAAAACTCCTACATAGTTATGATATAAATCTTCGAAAACTGTTTACTCGAAATCTTTGAAGGCTTTATACAGTTACAACATAGCCAGATATTGCACTTGGTATTGCCAGTAAGCACGAGTTTTTTGTTGACTATAACAATTTCATGCACCTCAGCTCAGTTTACAATTATATCACTGTCGTTTATGCTAAAAGCCGGTGCATGAGGTGTCGACGTGTGCTTGCGTTGACCGCTACCGTCCATTAACAGGCTCATTCGAGCAGATCCTTTAACACTTTTTATATTGTGGCTTTGTATTTTTTGTTTTTGTTTTTTTTTGTTTTAGAGATTACGATTTTTGATATTCTATTTATATATTGTTGTCTTATGATACAACTGTCTTTTCGTAATAATTATTTAAACTGGCATATACATGTATAACAGAGGATATTTGTTTGTTAAGATCACAGCTTAATAGCATAGGCACTATCTTCAAAACATGCCGCCGCTTCGAGTGAAATATTACTTGATGATTTTACGTGCAAAAACAAACATTTCCTTAATTCAATTTCAATAAATATCCTGTCTATTTTTATTTTACGTGCAAATCACACATTCCCATTCAATTTAAATCAATAGTCTAATGGCTATTACGCAAGGCGCGCCTGAACGTGTCCTTACAGCAATTGTTTCTGTGTCTCTATTTCTTTTCAAATGCAGTTTTGGGTTTTGTTATCCAATAATGGTGTAGTTAGTGTTGAAAACACATCAACTTCCATTAATAATTGAAGACGTACTTATTTGTATCTATGTAAGAAACAATGCATGGTTTTAATTTTTCTCGGAATATGAACTTGGTCAAGAGGCCGTTGTTAATCGATCAACTATTCAGTTCCGATTATATGATATAAAAATCTTACACCGGCTGCCGGCAGAACTCCGTTACCGTCAAAAACAGTTACCCTCAAGCTAGATATTCCTTTCTTGCAAGGTAGAATGGCGTTTCCGTGAGTTTTACTCATGCCGGAAATTTCATCTGGCATGGGGGGTGGGGGTGCCAGATGAGTCGCGTGCCACACAACAACATCATTTAGCGCACTTAATGAATGAACCGCGTTTAAATGACGTCATTTTAGAAGGGAAATATATGCTTAGGATGACGTCATTTCGCCGTTGTTATTTAAGTTGTAAATACGCTATTGTAAGAAAATAGTTATGTATGAAATGACTTGAATTTCCATGAACATATATTATATTGAGCTAAATCATATTAAACATGAAATAATATGGCAGAATATGCAAGAAAAATCTCTGACATGTTTGCGGTACGGATGGGAATATAAGTCCCGAGTGGACCCGCCCATTTGTGTAACGAGGCTTGCCAAGATATTATAGTCTGTAACGGCAACCGGTGTTTGATAATTTTCCTTGCATATTACATGAATCGTATTTTGGAAAGAAATACCAAAAACTAATATTTTCATTTAGCAATTGTTTCTTATAGAAGCGTATGAATTTACAACCTCATTCATAATGGAAAACAACGTCATTCATTGAACGTAATTCATTCATTAAAAGCGTGTTGGAATGACGTCATTTAAAGCACGCGACTTGTCATACATTGGGGATGATGTACGACAGGTTTTTTCTAGCACCAGTGAAAACAGTAGATAATCTTGTCTGATATTCAAGAAAATTCTGACTAAACTTATACTTTTTGCAAAATTTTCAAACTTATATTCAAGTAAGCATTCGCATGGCACTCAGAAGGATAAAAAGCTATATCTTAAGAAATATTTTTATGAAATTTACCTGCAGTAGATTCATAGCACTTCCATTCTCGACGAGAGTTGTAATATTATATGTCACCGCTATTTTACCCACGTGCTTGTTGTACGAAAACAGAATTAAATGTTCCGGTACAAAATATGATCATACTATTTAAGGTAGTGGTATATCCGTTTAGCCATGCTTTCCGTGAATGCGCCATGCAATTGTAAGACAATTTACTACCATATTTATTTCATTTAAGCATTTGAAAGTATTTTTTCTTTTGAAATTCAAACACTAAACTTTGCAGGAAACATAAAGCTTTATTAAATTTAAGAATAAGTTAATATGGAAGCAAGAAATTTCTCATTCATAGTATTTTACAGATTAAAGCATTTCTTTTCAGATGTAATTGCTTAGTCAGTGTGACTGATCATTTATAGATTAAAACATACATGCATAAACATAGATGTGTAAATCTTAATCCGAAACTGGAAAAATATTTGGATTCTCATACAGGCTACTCACCAGTGTGGCTTTGAACTCCGTCGGGGACTTGGACGTCTTTCATGTAAGGTAGCTTACAAAATCGCATAAAGAACGTTGGTGGTACTGAGGATCTGAGGTATTTCTCCGCTATTTAAGTTGGAAAATGGTCATTTCAATATCGATAAGACTTAACCCATAGTCAATCAGACATCACTGTCACCAAATGATTTTATTAAATGCACCGTTTGAAGCATGTGCAGTAAACTCCGCTTATAACGATATTCAGGTGACTGCAAATTTCATATCGTTTTAGCCGGATATCGGTATAACCGAAGAACAACTTATTTGAAAACAAAAGTCGAAAATGCACATAGCATTGCTACAAGCGGTGAATCGTGATACGTGAAATCACAAATCTCTTAAGTTGAATAATTTGAATAGGAAGTATGTTTAAATGTTCAAATTATATAGTTTAACAGATCTTGAAGAGTAGTAAAGGATACGCTAAAGTATCGTTTAATTAGCTTGTTTCCTTCGTATTGTCAAGTTATGATGAATTTTATAATAGGAAGTAGCATTGACACGACTCGAGCAGTTCCAATCATTTAGTGCAAAAAAGACTGTTTGAATTTTGGAATTAACTTGTATTTAACAGGTATTTTCCTAATTTTACCGAAACTTTTGTCCTTGCTGCTTATAACGTTGTTGTTTTTGTTGTTTTTTTGTTTTTTTAGACTTTTTTTTGTTTTTAGTATCATTATAACTACTGTTATTTATTTCTCTTTCTTTTATCTGCTGAAATAATAATCATCTATTATAGACACCACCTTGTCAAACTCCAGTACATTATGGTGACTACGATGTGCAAATTGAATGTGGTAATGTACTAAAAATGAATGGGTTTTTTTTTTCAAGATTAAATTCCATAAGATACAATTATTTTTAGTGTTACATAAATTGTTTTACTTCTTTATTTTAAGCTAAGCTAATCTTAAATTTACAATATGAACTAAAGTGAACTAAAATTAGGGTTTTTTTGGTTATGCGGTCTCGATTTATTTGGTTTGCTTCGGCGATTTCAACACATTTGTGGTAAACCCTCGGCTTTCTAAGACAACCTACCAAAATAAAATAACTATAAATCTCATATGATTTCTGAACTAGAGTTGAGAGATAAATAACTAAAGAACATAACGTCCCAAATCATTTGAGCCGCGTCACGACAAAACCAACATAATGGGTTTGCGACAAGCATGGATCCAGACCAGCCTGCGCATCCGCGCAGTCTGATCAGGATCCATGCTGTTCGCTCTCAGTTTCTCTACTTGGTATAGAGTATGTAAGCGAACAGCATGGATCCTGATAAGATGTGCGGATGCGCAGGCTGGTCTGGATACATGCTGGTCGCAAACGCATTATGTTGGATATGTCGTGGCGCGGCTCAAATTTTGTCAAGGAGACATTTTAGTTCGCCCGAAGAGAAAGTTAACTACAAATCCGATGCCCTCTTTTTTAGCTATGCGAACGGACAATGTAATAACAAAAAGAAAAAAATGTAAAAAAATGAAAATATGAACGTCACAGATTTGCAAATACAAAAAAAAAAAAAAAAACATTCAGGCGTACTTAATCCACATTTCTGTTTAATTTCCGATGCTTAAATGTCTTACGATACAATGATAATTTAAAAAAAAAAGAAATGTCTTAATTTTCAAATGCTCAAAATATGTTGTTTTTCATATGTTTTTGAAAAAGGAACTCCACTGATTTTTTAACTAAATTGAAAAGATTTTGCTGATTTATTTTTAACTTGATGCAAGTTGTGAAAATAATGCAGGCGTATAAGCGCTAATTTATATGCATAGTGAAATGCACAAATGACTTGATAATTATGTTTTTAATAATTATTACTGTTTCTTTTATAGACAACGAAATGATGTCGTCAACAATGATTCAAGCGTTTCTGATTTTAGCATGTCCATTTGGTAAGTTACAGTTAAGGACATATTCTAGTTCAATAATTAACAAATATCTAAGGCATTTGATACATTCTTTTAGAAGTTTGTAAAAATTGTTTAATATTTTTTAAACGTTTACAGTGCCGTTGCGGCTTTCAAACAACAACAACATCAACAAAATAACACCTTTTTTACTTCTATTGAAACTGACAATATTTAGACCATTAGTCTAACATCTGATATCTGGTCTTAAATTCTTCTCCACTTCAGGGATGGTTTAAAAACGAGGAATGATGTCAATCCACAGGATCATTAATTTCAATTATTTTGCACTATTATTTCGATCAATACTAATATCATATTTCAAACATGTTTACTATAATATTAAAAACTGATTTCACAGGTATTTCAATGCAGGCTTGTCCAGAGTGCGTATGTTGCATAAATGGACAACACGCGTGTGATGCCGATAGAAATTGCGTCAACGGATGTACGACCGGGTATTTTGGCGAAAAATGCACAGAAGAGTGTCCAGAAAATTGCAATACTTGTGAAAATTATAACAGATGTAAGGAATGTAAGCATGGGTACTATTCTACAAAATGTAATATACCGTGTGGTAAAGGATGTTTAAATAATACATGCTCGATAACAGGGGATTGTTCATGTAAGTCAACTGATTTTGTCAAAGGTAAATGTGATATGTGTTCGGGGGATAGGTATGGTGATGAATGTAACAATACTTGTGCTAGTACTTGTGTGTCCTGTACATCAGAAACATACTGTTTAATATGTAAGGACAACGCATATTACGGACAATATTGTCAGTACATATGTCCACACGGCTGCAACGATGGTAAATGCGGTAAAAAAAATGGACATTGTAGTAGGGGATGCAAGCTTAAATTTACTGGGCATAAATGCGATACCTGCTCATCTGGATTATATGGAACGTATTGTGATTTAAAATGCCCAGGGAATTGTTCTGTCTGTACTTCGGAATCAAATTGTGTACAGTGTAACAGTGGCTTATTTGGGGAAAAATGTTATCGTGTTTGTCCATCTGGCTGTATCGGATCATGTTCATTTACTGATGGCCGTTGTTTTGTTTGTAAACCGGGATTAGCGGGAGACTTTTGCAACAAAACGTGTGAAAATGGTACATATGGGGTCAACTGTTCCAAATCGTGTCGTAATATAGAATCAAATTGCCAAGCCTGTAGCACAGATGATTCAGGTAGCTATAAAGACTGTATAAAATGTGACAGTCGATATTATCGGGTAATACCCTATGGAAAAAATCAAAGTATATGTACACATTGTCCATACAACTGTAAAGGCAATGTATGCAATGACAATGGTGTTTGTACACTTGGATGTTTGCATGGAAAATGGGGTGAAAGATGCACGGAAACGTGCCCTAAAAATTGTGAAAAATGCAGTCAAAGTGAAGGGAAATGTTTAGAGTGCACGCGTAAGACGTTCTCTGACGATTGCTTACGAAACTGTAGTACAAATTGTAATGATACTGACGAAAGCCGAGTTTGCACAAGTGATACTGGGATGTGTTTACAGGGATGTAAGTCGTTTACGAGATATGGAGAACATTGTGAAAAACACTGCAGCGATATTTGCAACAATGGAAGGTGTGATTGGAAAACGGGACATTGCTTGGAAGGATGTAAAATGAATTATTTCGGGCTGTTTTGCAACGATTCATGTCCTCATACATGCAAGTCAAATGAAAATACACGCATATGTGATGGTGTAAATGGGCATTGTTTTTATGGATGTAAAGACGGGTTTCATGGCAATAGATGTGGGAACAGATGCAGCAGTCAATGTCAAAACACGACTTGTAACCAGGTTACAGCGGAATGTCTGCATGGTTGTATAGAAGGATATGAAGGGGTGAAATGTTCTGAAGGTAAAACTATGTTACCACCTTTCGATTTGCGTTTCATATAAGATGATCCCTTTCGTCGCCCAAAATGTTTCTATTTTCATATTTCTGCGATAATACATAGATTAAATAAATTCAATTATAAACTTTTATTATTTTCTTTTTATGTCAATAACTATATGATTAACTATTTATATTGTAAACCTTCGGACATATGGTAATAATTGTTAACAACTTTATCGTAAATGTAATTGAGAAGTGTATTTAAAAGTAAAATATTGTAAAGTGAACGAAGGAAGTAATTTATCCATTGCAAACAGCACTTACATTCCACGTAAATTACAACAATGAAGTCAAAATTTGCAAGAATAGCTGTTACTGTGTTAGTTGCGCAGTAGAAATATGATGATAAATTCAGTCATTAATTAGTTAATACAAAGTTATTTAAAATTAAAACTTATTTAAACACTTTCGAATCCGTCCCTGGAACCAACCAGCATAAAGTAATGAATGTAAAATTTCTTGCTCAAGGAAACTACGGCTTGTCTCTAATAAGGTTTGAGCCCACGCGGTCAGCAATCCTTAGATTACTAGTCCGATGCGTTAACCACTCGATCACGCCGCCACTCTGGTCATTAATTGGACAAAACATGCTTATTGCGTAAATATTTTTGTTCTCAAATTAACAGATTTATCACTGATTCGTTTTATACTTTTAGAAAAGTCAATAAAAGATGTTGACGACGGACATTCTATAAGTACACTTTTAGGAGCCACATTCGCAGCAGGCCTGGTCGGTGTTATTTGTGGAGTAACAATCACGCTTGTGTTGACTTTATGGCGGCGAAGGTATACTCATTCCCGTTAACTTAATGTTATTGAATCCAAATCGGCAGACCAAAAAAAAATAGTTATTGAACATCGAGTTTTACTGATGTGTTATCTATTTAAATGATGATGATTTTTTTCGACTCGAATAGTAAAAGAGAATCTTTCAAAATATTATTAATATTTTGTGATATCTTAAACTTGGATAAATGTGCAACATGAGTTTTTAAAGTTAATGAATACTGTTTATTAGATTCAAAGTGACACTATGTACATCCAGGTGTAATTAATGAGTGAACAGGAAAACATGAAAATAACTTGCTATAGTTTTGTTCAATTTTATATTTTACAATAAAATAAAACAATTATACTTGTGACTAACGGAAATGACCATAAATATAGTTCTGAATGTATCGGTTACGCTCTTTTCTTTAAATAGAGTGGGGCAGTCTTTTGTATAATTTCTGTAGTTTCTATTCGGTATCATTAACAATTTTCATTATCAATTATTGGACAGCGAACGAATGAGCATAATGTCACTTTAAAAGAAAAGTACACTTTTATTTGAAATAATAAAAGCAATCATATTATAACAGTATTTCCTTTCACACCTTTTAGAAATGGCAGACAAATGAAAGGCGAAAGTGAAAACATACCAGTGAATACTGACGGCAGGTTAAATGATGGTATAAGATTGACGAGTTATATATTTTACATTAAAAAGAAGCTACTTTTTTATCTTGGCGATGCTATATTTAAAAGCAAAAAGTTGTATTTTCACTAGAATCAAGCATATTGACAAGTATAAAACGAATTAACAAGAAAATTTACAAGAATCATGGAAATTTACTTTAAGTCAAGCAATTTTACAAGAATCATTCAAATGTACAAGAAAATCTACAAGAAGCAATCAAAATTACAAGGAGCAAGCAAATTTACAACTTTAAAGCAAATTTACAAGAAACTTTGTAGGATAACATATCAATTAATCTGAATTCAAATTCAAACTGTATACTTAGATAGTTTAAACGATATTTCACAAAATTTACCTTCCTTGTGAAAAGTGGCTGCCATTTTTTGGGTCAGTACTCTATATATTATAATAGACAATTTATACAAAAATCAATAAAAACAGCTGATTGATCAGATTGAATATTTTATTCAGATGGAGGAAAGTACCATTAAAGCAACACTACATAAACGATTTTTATCAGTTTCCTTGTGAGAGATGTAAAACCTTATCTTAGGCATATGATATATTGGAAATTACCCTCAAAATGGTGGCAAGGGGAAGTAATAAATCATATGTGAAAAGTCAATCTCCTACGCAGTGATATCCCGTTATCAGTACTGAGATCTCTACCATCACAAACATTATTATCATATTTTAATATTTTTAGCTAGCTTTTACATTTATTTTTCATTATTTTGTATACTTTTGATATTTTTTTTATAAACTAATACGAACGTAGGTACAAAAGGTTCACAATAAAAAATGAAAAATGACGTTAGATTTTCTATGTACACATAACGGTCGATATGTACATTTGAATTTCGACGTTACATCATGTGAATTTCATCGTCATGTGACGTATGTGAAGGCAGTAATTACAATCTCTAAAGGGGGTGGGGTAATCACTGTGAGGAGTACAGTAAATTACATTTTTTTTCTTTATTTTTGATACAGAAAACGCTTATGAGAGTGCCTCCCCTGCTACATATGAAGAGTTGAAGTCACGTGACGAGAGATTATACAGTCAGCTAATTACAAGTCAGCAAGAGATGTCACAACCCGCATATGATAATGTTAATTAAAAATCCTAATTAAAAGACAGTTAATGCACATTTTGTCGTGCATTTATTTCCGCAGAAGCAAGAGGGCGCACTTAAAACGCGACTCCACAGGATATGTGATTGTATATGATCGAAGCAATGACCTATTCTTGCATAAAATATACTTCTGATTCAGAAAGTACATTTTGTATGTGTGATATTCTTGTTTTACTAATCATTTGTCATTTCCCAGTTATGTTTTGACGCTTTTATTTAATCATTATTGAAGTACGCTATTTTCACATGGCACCCTTAGTTACGCATATTAAACAACAACAAAAACATTACAAAAAAGCAAAACTGTGCATTTAATCCGTTTATTATATGTTTTCTTAACCGTTAATTTATATCTTTTTTGCGCACCTTTTATGCCATATGGAGATATATCTGCAATAGGAAAAACGCACAGTTTCATTTTAATTTTTTTGTTTATAATTTTATGTACTATTAATGGCGAAAAAAATCAAACAAACAAAATCAGACGAAAATTGTCTCAAGTTTCGGAATGTGATACAGTCATATACTGTATTTAAAAACTGATAATTAGTTTCGGAAGCTTTTAATTTATTTCGGAAACTGACCCGAGTGGTTTATAATATAGATTATAATTACAAACAAGCGTTTAGGTTAACATGATAAAACGATTATGCTACTTAATAATATGTACAAATATTGTCTTTGAGATGAAGTTCATTTTTGAATGCACACATTTTTCTAATGATAAAAAGAAATATATTCAAAGATACAATGTTAACCACCCAAGCTCTCTAAAGGAACTAAAGTCTTATAAATTGTACAAATAGAAATAAACTTATTAAACTTGCTTTATTTTGTAAGCTTTTATTACAAAGTATTCAATAACTCATTCTCCAAAATTAAACTATACATTATAATATAGATGGTGGTTTTTTTTTGGTGTTTTTGTGTTTTGTTTTTTTTTGTTTGTTTGTATTTTTTAGTTTTTTGCTGTTGTTTTTTTTTTTGTTATATGAAGGGAGTCTGTGTATTTGTTGTATGCACTTGTGCTATGAACCCTTTATTATGTTTTTGTTTATATTTTATATATTCTTAGTAGTTTTAATCATCTCATGTATGTAATATGCCTTGATTGAATCATTCAACCAAACTAAGCTATCTCTGTGTAATAAAAGCATGTGAATTGCTTGATTATTAAGTCAAATTTATATTTCTATGCATCAAGAATTGAAGGAAATAACTTTTGCTATAGTATATTAATATTAAGTTTTTATGAAACTAGGCAAGTATCAAAGTAATTTTGGATTCCTATTTCAACACATGCCAAACTGGGTAGGTAGGTAGGTAGGTATAGGTAGGTAGGCAGGTATAGGTAGGTAGGTAGGTAGGTAGGTAGGTAGGTAGGTAGGGAGGTAGGTAGGTAGGGAGGCAGGGAGGTAGGGAGGAAGGGAGGCAGGCAGGCAGGTAGGTAGGAAAATATTATCATGTACAAACAACATGATGTTTACAGATAAAAAGATGTAATTTTCATTGTCCAACTTTTACATGATTAAAGATTCATTTTGCCTCCAAACTGATATAACTTTATTTCTCAAAAGCTTTATATCCCTCTGGCCTGTCATAACTTCCGAAAATTAGTCATTGGGCAATTATCATGACCAGCTTTCGGTTCTGTTGCTTTGTAGTAATCAGTATGGTTATAGTGATTAAGTATTTTCTATGTTAGATTCTTGTTACCTTAAGAAGATATCTATAAATGTGAACTAATATGTCCTTGAAGCAGTGAAATGTTAAAAAAGTAGTATTTTTACTTCCGTGCAAAATACTATTTCAAAAAAACTGTATAAAAATTATTGCCAAAAAGCAAATGATGAAAAATGAATCGTACTATAAGAGTATACCAACATCGGAAAGATTTTGAGAAATGGAAGCAAAAACCGTTTCTAAAGCACATTGGGCCTTTAAAAACCACTTATTCAAAATAATATTACTAAAGTGCAAGGAACGCGCTGTTATTGTATATTACGTCTGATCTGTCATTACTGTCCACACTAGAACACTTTGTTATTATTACACATTTCACAATTTTCAGGACATTCCTCTCTGTCATAATAATTGGATTAGCATCATTTCATTCATGACAGTGTTATTTTAATCACACGTATGTTCTATTTTTTTTTATTTTTTTTTTTATTTATTTATTTTTTTATTGCTTTTTGAACCTCTTGGTCATGCCTTCGTTGATAGACTATATAAATGTTAAAATGTCAAGTAAAGTGTTGTTTCTAAATAATACATTGCATTATGTAAATAATGGTGTTCGCAAAATAGTAGAAGATTCGTTTGAGCTGTTAACAATATCTGTATTTCTATAACAAATGCTGATGCGTTGTAAGTAATGGCGACCTCACTTAATCATTAAAAGATTGTGTGATGACCTGAAACCGGCCAGTGTGACGTACAATCCAACAACAAACAAACGACTTTTGTATGCATGCAAATTATCTAAATCAAAACAAAGCTTGTATAACAGTCTACTGTAGTTTTGATTCTCACTGCCTAACGGCTTATATTCTTAATATTTTCAAATAATAGACTCATTAAGCATCGATTATGCAAATATTTTCAAAGCTTTATATTTTGGTGTCTTTTTACAGTTTTCGAATTCCAATTAGTATTCCAATTAGTAGTTTGTATGAATGTAACCTTTGCTTTCATTAACATCAATAATTTACAGTTAACGCTATTTTTTTAAAGGTGACTAACATTCATCTATTATTTATCAATTTCGTATTTTCTACAGAAAGAAAATAAAATCCTTCTTGGTTCATAAAAAACATCTGCTGAATGAAAATATAACTATATGAGTCTAAATGAACTATATTTTTTCATATACACATGCAGCGCACGTCTTTGGTTTAGTGCATAAGTTTATGTCTGTAATCATAACTAAGTCTGGAATAAAGTGCAACTCAAGCTAGGGGAAGCAGAGGATGTACTTTTTCGTTCTACCTCATGGACATAATCTATCAAAGCGAGTCTGCAATTTTCATTTAGTTTTGTTGGATTAATGCTTCCGAGGGAAAACTCTGTCTCCTTAATTACCATTAAATAAAACTGAAGTGTTGACATTGATCAGAAGGAGAAGGAGGCTTCCAACGTTGTACCAATGGAAAAAAAATGATAAAAAGACAGTTACATCTACAAAAGAGGTCAACGCGGATTAAAAGGATCTTTTTTACAAATGTATTCCATGTTTATTAATGTACTTGAATGCTACTGATAAATTCAAAAAGATATATAAGAAAATTTCCTCGATTTCAAGTGATTAATTGGTTATTTATTTTGGGTACAAAAATGAAGTTATAAAAACTGAAACATATTATACACACTTATTGATTTCCTGTACACTTATCAAGTATGTTGGGATGGGCATCACGTTACTTTAAATTACAATATTGAATAAAAGGAAACGGAGCTACAGTTATATTACTTGAATGCACTTGTTTACATATTATCTGTTTTGATAAAAATCATGGGCATTCTTTTTAGGCTTCAATTTTTCATAATGTGGAACAGTGAATCTGTTTTCCTTTTTATATATGCCTTTTCCTTTTTATATATGCCTGAAAGGGCATATTATGTTATACCCCCTGGCGTCTGTCTGTCTGTCCGTCCGTCCGAACGTACGTCCGTCCGTCGTTAGCAATTCGGTTTCCGGAGCTTAACTTAAGTTCCATTTGGCCCACATTGTACAAACTTCATAATATGATTGTCCATATTGGGTAAAATAACCCTATTGATTTTGGGGTCACAAGGTCATAGGACAAGGTCACTATTACCTTAAAACTGAAAACAGTTTCCAGAGCATAACTTCATAAAATGATTGTCCATATTAGGTCGAAGACCCCTAGTGATTTTGAGGTCACAAGGTCAGAGGTCAGAGGTCAAGGTCACTATTACCTTAAAACTGAAAACAGTTTCCAGAGCATAACTTAAGTTCAATTTGACCCACAATGTTCAAACTTCATAGGATGATTGTCCATATTGGGTAGAAGAACCCTATTGATTTTGGCGTCACAAGGTCAAAGGTCAGGGTCACTATTACCTTGATACTGAAAACAGATTCTGGAGCATAACTTAAGTTCCATTTGGCCTACAATATTCAAACTTCATACTATTAGGATAATTGCCCATGTTTGGTAGAAGACCCCTTTCGATTTAAGGGTCAAAAGTTCAAAGGTCAAGGTCAGTATTACCTTAAAATTAAAAAAAGTTTTCGGAGAATAACTTAAGTTCCATTTGGCCAACAATATTCAAACTTTACAGAATGCATGTTCATATAA